GTAGTCTCTAGGGGACTTAAAGATCGAGTGATGGACAGCAGTGTCCCTTTTAAAATTTCACCAAAACCCTAACTGCGGTTGCCAACCCGCATACCAAGCGTGGCAATTACTGGCAAAACCTTCTTAATAGGAGAAGGTTATATTTAACGGAGTACAGTAAATGGTTGATATAATGAAACAAAAAAAAACTAACAGAATTGAGAACTCCTTTTTTGAAATCTGTTGATAAATAGACAAAAATTATAAAAAAAAATATCGTATTATGTATTACACGTTCTTAGTCTTTACATTTTTTTGTAAAGAGTATCTATCTTTATTTTTTTTCTAATGTAATGATTTAATGTAGATAAATTGTAATGAGTAGATTTTTTCGTACTTCTGTATTGTCGCACTTCCGTGATTCGCACTTTGAATACTCAATCTATTTTTAAAACATATAAAGAAGGATGTTCTTAGTGCGTCTTCATTTTTTTGTACATATATTACGCGATATCTTCGGTAATTCAGAACAGTTTTGTTAGTCTTTTGTTAAACACAAAGCATGCTGTGGTTGACTCTAAATGTAAGAACAGTTAGACCTAATCCACTAGTGTAGGGGGGGAAAGGGATTGTTAGTAATGGAGACTGGAATCCCATTGCTAGCAATATTGGGTATATAGTGTTGTAACATTATTACTTTGGGGGGAAAGGGATTATCAGTAATGGAGACTGAGAATCCTATTGCTAGCAATATACCCAACCAGGTCAACCTCCTCGCGGTTCTCCCTGGAAACTATCATGGTTAATTTGTGATGAATTCATCATGATGGGCTAACTGGCTTGTTTTCATTCTCATCTATCACCCTTCACTGGTGCTCCGCCATGCGGGGTTATTAACCCATAATCACCCATAAAAAAAAACAACGAATATAATACTTTATGTTCTAATTCACACGGACGAAACTGTGGGAAAGGTAGGTATAATTGGTAAAAATAAATTTTTAGACATTGGCAACAGTAAACATACTAAGCCTGTAATTCGTATTATATATATAAAGATACATTCACAAATCACTTTTATCTGTAGTCGACAAGATGGAAAGAAAATTAGTAGAACAAAATATGCTAATAAATTACTACCAATGTTTATAAAGCGATGATAATAGTCGTGATAATACTGCGTACTATGCTTAAGATATTATACAGCTGACCACACTAGACGTGTTATGCATGTTACATAGGATAAACAAAGCAGATAGCTTGTTTCAATGTTAAATAAGTAAGATAAAACCAATAAGCATAAAGAATTAAACTATGTATTTTTTATTTTTTTTATTTTAGGCTGAATATACTCGGCAAAAAAAATTATTGCTGGATTTTTTAGAGTCAGCACTGCCCTAATATTAACAAAACTAAAAAATGAAACTATGCAACTATCTAGAAGTATCAATACAATAAAATAAATGAATATTCAGTGTGATACATTCATTATACAATTCATGGTCCTAAGTATCGATATCGATAGGCATCATAAAAACCTAGTTAGTTTATAGCGCAAAATTTTCGCATTCTATTAATTGGTTGCATAGAAATTATATCATATCATTTTTTGTTCAAAGTGACGCAAACCCGTGTTTATACACAATAATATCACAACACACTGCTATCTAACCTCATTTTTAATTTAATTCGCACCATATTGACTCCCACAATTGTGTTCTTCTTTTTAAATATTTAAAAAAATGCGCATTCCGTTTTCAGAATAATAAATAGGTACCAAATATTTTAACAAATATAATTAATGTTAATGTAAATGTAGTAATTGAAAAGAGGTAATATTATTGTCATTTGCTTGAATACTGTAGTTTATCTTACGGTCAAAGCACATTTTAATATATGGGATCGAGTCTAAGGTGCCTTTTCTATAAACTATAATCTAATCTCTAAATCGGTAAAATAAAATATCTGTAAAATTAAATAAACAAAAAAAAGATTTCAATTATTGAAATTTAAATTAATATGTGACCTGCATACAGATATACACATGCAGACACGACATACATACATATGATAGACATACAGACTTGACCCATTTATTAATAATATAATCATCGTGTAACAATAAAAAAGTTAAATAGTGCAATCAATCATGCATCACTCATCATCAATGTCTCTCAATGACAATATAAGATACATCAAATCGTCTATAAAAAAATTATCCAAGGTATTATGTAGTTATACGTAATTACATCTAAATTAGCTTTAAGCAGGGGATTTTTTATCTATATGTATATATATATATATATATATATATATATATATATATATATATATATATATATATATATATATATATATATATATATATATATATATATATATATATATATATATATATATATATATATATATATATATATATATATATATATATATATATATATATATATATATATATATATATATTAAAAAAAAATTTAAAAGATCGTTCCTTTGGACTTTAATTGTAGGATTTATAACGAACGAAATATCAAACTCTACTTACTGGACCAATTGCGGTATGAAAAAAAACACAAAATCAAGTCCGAAAATAACGGAATTTCATTCCATGGTAGACCCTTAAAAATGTTATGTCCTACTACTATTATAAACATGAAATTTTATGACGATGGATAAATATTTTGCTATTCTTTCACACAAAAAGTACTGAATGTACCTACTCTGAACAAAACCGCAGGACACGACTAGTATGTATAACCTGTGCGATCTATATTAAATACCCAACGAACGCTCATGACTTCATCTTATATTTCGATAGTATAAATTGTCTCAAGGAAACATTACCAATTTTAAAGAGTGCTTCCTGTTATTAAGGAACTTGAGTGTACGGGTTTGACATTACCTCTTACTGGCCATTATTCTTTGAGCAATTAGCACGTTAACAAAGAGTATTGAATTACGCAGATCGGTCACATCGTTCCAATTTAGGTATAAAGTTATTTTACTAATAAGAAATCGAGAGACGAGACCATACCCATAGGACGTTGTTATAGCTATCATATTCATATCTTTTATTAACCAATGTAACAATTGTCGTCACACACTATATTTACTTTATATTTACGTTCTTTTGTTTATTTATTCATTGTTTATTAGACCACATTACAAAAAAGTTTAGTGAAAAAAGCAGACTTAATGCTATGCAGCATTCTCTCCTAGTCAATCTTTGGCAAAACAGAAATGTAATTATGCAGTGATAAATTGAAATTTGTTTAAAAAAAACAACTACACCGTAGCTCGTATCTGTTTGATCCACTTTTGAACATAGAAATACAGAAATGGGCATCAACGTTCCCCTTAAAATATCACAAAAACCTAACTTCGGATGCTATGGGGGAAGGGATAGTTAGTAATGCGGACTATAAGTCCCATTGCTAGCAATATACCCTATTAGGTCGCTCTCCACGTGGTTCCCCTGGAAACCATCAACCAAGCATAGCAACTACAGGCAAAACCTTATAATGCCTATGTTCAGCAGTGGACAGATAACGAATGGTATGATATTGATTATTTTATTTTTAAATTTGTTATTGGCAAACGTATTATTGTAATAGGTAATTTATTATACATTTTCAGCTAAAAATTTATACCCATTCAATATTTTTAATTTATTTTTAATAAACTCTCAAACATTGGATTAAATATGAACTTTGTTATTTATAATATTTGGCGACGAAATTGCATACAAGACAGTCCTTAATCACACTTAAACGAGCGGACTTAAAATAGAGAGCCTACCATGAAATGTTTTCCGAAATTTCGGAGCCGAACGAAACACAAATTTAATGTTAAAATTACATAATACTTACCGTTTAAAAACATTAAAAATATGAAAATATTATTCCTTGGAACTTTTATGGTAGGATTTATGACGAACGAAATATTAAGCTCCATTTACTGGCCCGATTTAGGTGTGAACAAAAACACGAAATTGAGTCCGAAACTTCGGAATTTCATTTCATGGTAGGCCCACTGATGTCCCACTATCCTAAATTATCAAATGCCAATATTTTTAATCTATAATTTACACAGATAAAACCATGGGTTTCAACTAGTAAATTACATCACGCTCACCGGAATAAACAACTTATGATTCTATCTGAAGCGGAAAAATCCGGTCTTATAATAACACAGAACAAAAGATTTGCAAACGTCTTCATAATTGATAATGATAGGCAGTAATGGCCGTGAGACTAACACCTCACTGTGGCCTTCCATTAATCATGGTTATAGAATGGTTTCAGCATTGTCCCATAGCTTCGAGGGTCAAATGTAAACATTATGTTTTTATTATTTGACAATAATTACCATATAATTTTGAAATTTTGTTCCACAAAAGGAAACAGAAAATTTTATCGTAGCAAAATCAGTTATTTTGTTTTTAAAACTAAACTACTGTATCGATTTTGATAAAATTTCTATGACATCAATCTGAAAGTATATTGTTTCAGATATAAAAAGAATTTTCGAAACAGACTTCAAAAAGAAGATTCGAGAACCTTCTTTTTGAAGTCTGTTGAGAGTGTCAACTTAATAGTACATAATATTATAAAGTGATATCATAATGTATTCTGTGAAGTTTATGCTGTTTTTTTTATGTATAGACATGAGTCGATAGCGCCAATAGCAAGAACGGTTACTAGTTCTATCGAGTGATTTTTTTTATACAACTTAGAATGACAAACAAGCTGACGGCCCACCTGATGGAAAGTGGTAACCGTCGCCTATAGACATGAGCAGTACCATGGACAAAACAAAGTATACTGTTTCGCCCATGATACCCCCCATGCGTTGCCATTCCTGAGGACTCAGATGTTATTCCTCTGTACCCAGTAAATTTTTGTATCATTCCAAATTGAACATTAAATATGTGGGAATAATACTTTGTAACTTTACAAATTTATTGTTAAAATCTACGTGAATGAAATAGCCGATAAAATTTACTTAAAACATTGTTTCAGGTAAAAATGAAGCTAAAATCTGAACTTCTAGTCCAGCCTTCGGGTGAGATGTGGAAGAAAATCAGAGTTGAGCTCAACGAGGATGTGAATACACGTAATCAAGATCTGGCCGCGATCAAGGAATGGTTGAGGAAGCAGCCGCACCTACCTGATGAATGGGGTAAGCCGGAAGCATAAAACATCTGACTTAATCTTCCACTTCGCTTACTACTTAGATACTACGTTGTTATTAGGTCTTTCAGAACGCTGACAGATGGTATTAACACGTTCTCAGATCACATTCACTCGTAATTCAAGCCATTGGGATCTTTCGTGTTTCCCTGCCTTACTTGATCGTTGAAGTTATTCCTATAATAGACTCGTATCCATACTTTTTAACGACTCACAATTGCTTTTATGTTTCGTAGATTTTAATTCCTCACTGCAAACTCTACAGTGTCCTAACAGATGTACTCGGAGGGAAAGGGATTGTTAGTAATGGAGACTGAGAATCCATTGCTAGCAATATACCCAACCAGGTCGACCTCCACGCGGTTCCCCCTGGAAACTATCATGGTTAATTCCTAAGAAATTCATCATGATGGGCTAACTGGCCTGTTTACATTCTCAGCAATCACCCTTCACTGGTGCTCCGCTAGCGTATTCCGTTAGCGCAGGCGCGGTTACCATACCATTTTCACCCATCGAAAAAAAAAAAACAAATGTACTCATCCTTTCCTTATCAGTTGAAAAAAGAGCAAAATGGATTTCCACATCAAATGCTCCATCGACTTAGTTCCCTAACTACGTACTAATATAGTGTAATTATAGAATACACCTGTTGTATAGTATCTGTAGATTATACAAAAGTCGATTGCTTGGGTACCTCTGTGCCATTCGTGTTTCTACCATGAAGCAGTTATGTTTCCATGACTATGTTTCGGTTTGAATAGTGGGATATGGCGTGAATTTACAGGGTACAGAGTAATAACACCTGAGTCCTCAGGAATGGCAACGCATGGGGGGTATCATGGGCGAAACAGTATCCTCTGTTATGTCCATGGTACTGCTCATGTCTATAGACGACGGTTACCACTTTCCATCAGGTGGGCAGTTAGCTTGTTTGCCATTTTAAGTTGTATAAAAAAAAAAATTGTAGTAATAATTAAAGATTGTGTTCCATAAAAAACCTACTTCCATTATGACAATACTAGTTATTTTGGTCTAAAAATAAAACTACTAAACTGATTTAGATAAATTTCTATGGGATCAATCTGTAAGTATATCCTTTCAGATAAAAAGAGAATTTTTCAAATCGGTTAAGAACTGGCAGAGTTATGAGGTAACAAACACAAAAAAAAACAATAAAATTACGAATCTCATTCTTTTCGGAGCCGCTTAAAAAGATTTGATAAAGAATAAATAGCAAAAACATTAATATAAATTATTCTCTTGCCATTGTCAAATGACTTGTATTTTTTTATTTATACGTTTTTTTTTTTTTATTTCATTAAAATTAGCAATTTATTGTATTTAATAATTAAATAATTTCATGATATCAACCTTTAACTTACCACTGCTGAACATAAGCCTCCCCCTTAAGGAGTTTTGCCAATAGTTGCCACACTTGACAGGAAATACGCCTGCCAAACAACCACAGTCAGGTTTTAGAGACGTTTTAAGAAGGACGCTACTGCCTATCCCTCGCCAACCCTCTGTCGGTTCTTACTACACCCACAGGATAGGAAGGGCTGGCCTATTCTATGCCGGAACCACACGGCCAATTAAATAATATGTTTGTTAATATTAACTTATAAAATTAAAAACAATACACATGTAACATGTGAAATATAAATTACTTAAAATTAAAATAGCAACATCCTATTGTATATTATTATGAAGCATCTCAAGCTACATCGTTAACTCAAGTGTAATACTTATGCTACATAAAACTGTGTAATTGTAAATAAAACTTCCATAAAATTCTACAATTAGTGCTTATAAAGTCTAAATAATTACTTCCTACTAGTGATTTAACAGACATGTCTAGACTGAACAATGTGTTTGGGACACCATTTAATCATTTGGGACATACCCAAAACCAATGAACCACTGGTTATTCCATATGCTGTGGCAACATCTCGAAACAACGCTCTCAAAGAACTGATTCTCTATTCAAAACCGTGCAAACTATTACTATTGTTTATTAAAAAAAAAATAGTATTATGTAGCATAATTTCTTGCTAATCATCAGATGAATTAAATGCACTTTTCGTTAGCAAACAATATGGCCAACGATCAAGTTACAATACGGCACAAACGAATTGTTTCGCTGATGGACAGTGTGCGTGTTGGCTCAAACAGTGTCCTGAAGATAATTGTTGGTAAAACGGACTGTCTTATACTAAAATATTGGGTGGGACAGGTTGTCAATGCAAGAGCGTCATGATCGCTCATTTAATAACATAGGTTAAGTAAATTTATAACTAACAAAATGGGCCTTGAAATTAAATAAATATTATTATTATTATTATAAAAATATATGGTAAATAAAAATTCATTAATTCATTCATACCTATGTAGTGATAGTTTTAATCCCTAAATCGCACTGTACAGGCAGTATGTACATAAAACATCAAAAATGGTGATTGACATCAAATATCAAAGAATTTTTGGCCGTTAGCATTTTTATGGACAGAATGAAAAAAACTAGTGCAGTAGTATAAGAATAAATTTATTCTTATGATAGTACTTAGAAATACTTAACTGTTGCTAAATTTTATTGTACCCAATTTTAGGATACTTTCTTAAATTTCTTAACTGTGTCTGAATATAAAGTGTACATTTTAACAGTGGATAAAATCGTGATAAAATTTTATGTATAATAAAATTAACACAGCTTGCTATGTATGTACATTACATACAGTACATTAGTACATCACAATAGGGGGAAAGGGATTTTAAGTAATGAGGTCTAATAGCCCCATTGCTAGCAATATACCCTTTCAGGTCGACCTCCACGCGGTTCCCCCTGGAAACCATCATGATTAATTCTTGTCGAATTCATCATGGTGGGCCAACTGACCTGCATTCATTCTCACCTATCATCTTCCACTGGTGCCTCGTCGGTGTATACCGATAGCGCGGGCGGGTTTACCATTCCATTTTCACCCATTAAAAAAAAGTACATCACAATGGAGATCCATCTTCACACGATATACCTGGAAAAATCTGGGTTAAGTCCTGATGAATTTGACATGATTCGCCAACTGATGAACTGACTTCATCCTCACTTATTGTCCTTCACTAGTGCCCCGCCTGCGTATACTAATAGCACGCAAGCATTTTCTTTTAATGGCTAATAATGGAATGGCAATACCGCCTGCATTAACGGTATATGCTGATGGGACATTGTCTCATAATAGCCAATTCATAAAGAATTAACCAAGATGATTTTCAGAAGGAACTACGTAGAGACAGACCTGATAGAGCCTAAGGGTTATTATTATCATTATTAATATTTCATGACCGAAAAAATATATATTTCATGTGACATGATCATATTTCTTTGTAAAATGTACAAGGAACTTTTTAATATGAAAAATGCAATATTTTACCAAAAATTATTACATTATTTGAATTACAATTACACTAACACACAATACAGTCTCCATACACTATTCGTCAGTTAAGTGGAGTAGTATCTTCTAATTCTTCAACAAATTTCTTTTATAATGTCGATCGATTCAAAATCTATTCCTAGAAAAACTACCAGCCTTGGAAAAACAAAAAAATCAGAAAGGGCATATTAAGTAAGTGCCATATTTGATCAATGATATTCGTCGAGTTGTTGTTTAAAAAATCTTACACAACGACGACCTTGTAAGATGGTGCATCATCATCATGTAATATCCATTAATTTTTTTTATGATATTTACTATAGCAAAACAAGTTGACGGCCCGCTTGATAGAAAGTGATTACCGTCGCCTAGGGCCATAGGCATAACAGTATCATAAATATCGCTGAACTTATCTCATCGTTGAACTTATACTATATATATAAATATATATATATATATATATATATATATATATATATATATATATAAATATATATATATATAAATATATATATAATATATATATATATATATATATATATATATATATATATATATATATATATATGGAAAGTGGTAACCGTCGCCTATAGACATTAGCAGTACCGTGGACATAATAGAGTATACTGTTTCGCCCATGATACCCCCCATGCGTTGCCATTCCTGAGGACTCTGGTGTTATTCCTCCGTACCCAGTAAATTCACGCCATATCCCACCCGTCAAACCGAAACACAACCATGCAAACACAACTGCTTTACGGTTGAAACACGAATGGGACAGAGGTACTCAAGCAATCGACTTTTGTACAAAGTCTCCCTACATTACTATTTCTGAAGACCATTCATAACTTGTAATTTCATTGCATACGACCACTCTACATACCGGAACTCAATTATTCAAATACATCTGAATCTAACATAAATACGAATAGGACAAAAATACCCAAGCAGACGACTTTTATACAAATTTTCCAGTGCTTCATCCTTAGCACGTCTGTACTACTAACTTAGAGCTATTTACACACAGTACAGTGTTACTAACTCAGCACAGTGGTCCTGTCTTAGTACAGTGCTAACAACTCAGCCTCTCAATACTAATTCAACACAGTGCTCTGACTCTGCTCAGCACTACTAATTTAATACTGCGCTTCTAATTCAGCACAGTGCTATAAACTCAGCACTGCACAATTAACTCACCACAATCCTACTGACTCAACACATTGCTAAATTACAGGAAAAAAATCGTTCTTAAAATTGCCACTTGCAAGCAATGACAGTAAATCACCGGATCATTCTCTTGTTTTAAAAGTAATACTTAAATAATGGTCGATCATAAGCAAAACACAAACATGACTGGGTGACTGATTCTCTTAACCGCAAGTGTTTCGAAACGATATTGCAAAAGCGGATAGGCAGCCACTTGTACACGCCGTAGTTATTTATCTTAAATCAATGTCAAGGTTCCCCTCCAAAATAATTATTTATATATTTGTTAGTTTTTTTTTTTTTTAAATAAGCATTTTGTTCCAAAGGGGCAATGCTATTAGTGTCATCAGTATTTAACCTTGAAGTGGCATATTACAATAATATAATTATGTAATAAATTTAATAATTACAGAAATATTATTAAAATATGAAAGTCATAATAATTATCAATTACTAATATTTCTACAACAATTTCCAATTATATAGTAAATTATTAAGTATCTAATCATAAATATTTTTTTTTAATAATTACAGTGTTATACATACAATCTATGAATTTAAATAAGGTACTACGATTTAATTCAATAAAAGTTAAAAATATTTATTTATATAATACTAGCGGCCCGGTACGTGCTTCGCTACGCATAAAGCGAAATAATAAAAAAATTAAACCTCAATACCATTTATTCAAATAAAAAAATATTTTATTAATTGCTAGCTATTTTAATTTTACTGTTAACACTGAAAAAAGTTTGAATTTGACACAAAAATCCCCATTGCAAAATTATCCGCCATTTATTGAATTCATTTGTTACAAAAAATGTGACAAATGAAGAACCGCTCGACCGATTTTGTGCAAACTTCACATAAACCATTTACTAAATAGTCCGAACAAAGCCTAAACATTTGGTTTGGATAGGTGAGCCTGTTCTCGAATTATAAAATTACAACGAAAAGTGGCATTAATTTATATATATATATATATATATATATATATATATATATATATATATATATATATATATATATATATATATATATATATATATATAATGGCAACGCATGGGGGGTATCATGGGCGAAACAGTATGTGTCCATATTTATATACAGTTTCGTTGCAAATTACTTCTTCATTAAATAAATATTACTTTCTAATAGTACAGTTTTCGCAAAAACAAATCACACAAGTCTCGAGTGAAATATCATTCGACTAAAATCATGTATTTATAGAATGACAAACAAACTAACGGCCCACCTTGTGGAAAGTGGCGACTGTGAAAGTGGTAATACAAATAGCACCGTGGACAATATAGACTACTCTAATATACATAAAAAATGTTCAACATTTGTTTTCTTATAGGTTCTACATATATATATATATATATATATATATATATATATATATATATATATATATATATATATATATATATATATATATATATATATATATATATATGATATCAGCCGTTACCTACCCACTGCTGAATTATGTTTCCTCTCCCTTGGCAACAGATTGGCAACCGTGGTTAAGCTATAGTGATGTTTTAAGAAGGACGCTGCTGCCTGTCACTCAATCACTTCCCTTGGTTGGTTGATTCCCTTAGTCGGCTCTTACGATAATTACAGAAATGGAAGAGGTTATTCTTTGTCAGGCATATACAGGATATACATATATATATATAATTTTAATGGGTGATAATGATGATGTAATAAATATAAGTCAACATTAAAAAAATGTAAAGCCCATAAAATAAGATATAAAATAGTTTAAATCTCTAGACAACTTATAAAGTAAATGATCTCTACTTTGATTATAACATATCGTTAACTGACCACCAGGTAAGTACTTAATTATACGGAATAAGTATAAAAACAAGTTCAATAAGAACGCGTAACTTGTGAAAGCTGTTGAGAAAATAAATCGATTGCATTTACGATCAAGTGGTGTATCCATTCTCCATTAAATACTAAAAAGACAAAGTATTTAATATTTATTTTTTTAAATTTCAAATATCGATCGTAATCTTAAATCTTTAAGGTTACGGTACCTTAGATTATTTATGTAATAGAAAATTTATAATTATATTATTTACTTCTTCAAAAACACCGTATAAAAATGGTAATAATAATATGCTATGAACATGCTTATTTTGCCAAAACAATGACATACAAAATTTTGATGCAATAATGTCAGTAAACGATCGATATTAGTTTGTAAATAGTAATAATAATAATTTAATAACAAAATAAAATAATAAATATACAAAATTGAGTATTTTGTAGTTTTAGGAAATTTATCATTGTATTAAACTTTTTTTGTTTAATTATTTCAAATTTAAGTCCACGTAATTTTTAATGCAAATAATATTGAAAACAGCACTATGTTGTTTAAAAAAATAAACGTCAAACAAGTCTTTCTTGTCATACTGTTAACAGCCCGTATTTTAATACTCAAAGCTCCATTTAGAGGTAGGTAGGTGCCAGATCGTGGTAAATTTTTACAGCATTATATCCCGCTATGTTTTGTACTTCAATCCTTGGCACATCATCATCATCATCATGTCAGCCGTTAACTGATCACTGATGAGCCTTCTCCTATTGGGGACTGACAGTAGTTGCTTGCCACAATCATTACATATAAATATGAAAGTAAGTTTGTTACCATATAGCGCCTTAACGCTTAACCAGGGGGGAAAGGGATTGTTAGTAATGGAGACTGAGAATCTCATTGCTAGCAATATACCCAAACAGGTCGACCTCCTCGCGGTACCCCCTGGAAACTATCACGGTTAATTCCTGATGAATTCATCATAATAGGCTAACTGGACTGTTTTCATTCTCATCTATCACTGGTGCTCCGCCAGTGTATCCCGTTAGCGCGGGCGGGGTTACCATACCATTTTCACCCATCAAAAAAAAAAACGCTTAACTAATATATAAGATGGTGAAAGTTATATGTAGGCTGTTTTTTATCACGGTCAGTAAAGATAGATAAGACTTCGTTCGTTTGACCCCTTCAAACGAACGAAGTCGCGAATAAAAGCTAGTTAGTATAGAATTAACAGTAACAAAAGCATTCCCATGATCCATGACCGTGAATTTTGTAATAATATTAATGCCATTATCAATTAACAATGATACAATGAACTCTTTGATACAAAAATATGGCTTCTAAGCATTACTCACAATATAAAGGTAGGATACATTTGTAAATTTTATTTGTGCATTGTTTAAAATTTATATCCGTGTTGTATTGTTTTATGATTAATGAAACGTGTAATTAACAAGTATAAAGCATGCCTTTTATATTATATTTTATTTACATTTAACTAAATTTTAAATCGATAAAAGCAACGAATGTCAGATGACAAAAAGTGAACCAAAAATGAGGGCTATATATTATTTTTATTGTTTTTAATCAAAAATAAAATTAAAAGTACCCGTAACCGGCGAGCGTGTATGAAAAGATTCATGAATGTGGAAGCGAAAGAGGTTTGTTTGAATCGAAGCATTTGGCGTTCCATTGTTCCTGCCTACCCTAATGGGAGACAGGCGTGACAGATATGTATGTATGTATGTATGTTGATCAATTTCAAAAAGAAGAAAGTTCTGTATTCGTCTATTCATAGTTTCAACCGTCTTCAAAATAAAGAGGAACCTCATTCTTTTTGAAGTAGGTTCAATTTGGTTATATTACTTTAGGTTGGTTACCTCATAACTCCATCAGTTATATTTTGGAATTATATGGTATAAGTTAAAATTTGTTATAGTTTGGTTTTTTTTTTTTTATCTGAAAGAATGTACAGATTGACCTCCCAAAAATTTTATCTAGATAGATTCAGTAGTTCAGTAGTAGGAACCCGATCTGGATTTGTATGTACTTATGTAACGCAATATCTTGACTAATTTTGGACTTTGATAATTATTTTATGATCCATAAAAAGTAAATCATACTCCCATGTTAGTTCCATATTAATTTAGTGACGATTTCATATAATGCTCTTTTTCTTTGCAGAGCAAAAAAAACTGTTTGTTGTAAAACCTAACCTTTTAGGAAGCGAACAAAGAATTATTAGTAATGGAGACACTAGTCCCCATTGCTATTAATATACTCCGTCAGATCGACCTCCATGCGGTCCCTCCTGGAAACTATCGTGGTTAATTCCTATTAAATTTGCCATGATGCCGATAGACTATCTGACCTGCCTTCATCCTTACTATCACATCCTCCACTTGTATCCCACCGTTGTATGCCGTTAGCATAGGTGGATGCACCATTCCATCTTCATCCATAAAAATACTTATTTCTATTGGGACAAATCCACATTCTAAATTCAAATATTTTCAGCCTAATATGTGCACGACGGTTCCCCCTGGAAACTATCATGGTTAATTCCTGATGAATTCATTATGATGGGCTAACTGGCTTGTTTTCATTCTCATCTATCACCCTTCACTGGTGCTCCGCCAGTGTATCCCGTTAGTGCGGGCGGGGTTACCATACTATTTTCACCCATAAAAAAAAATATATGCACGAAATATCTCGTCATATCGCTGTGTGTGTGTTCACTTTTAGAGTAATTTTTTTACGAAGCAAAATATTCTTACCATTTTTTTTTATTATTAATAGATTTTTAAATAATCAATTAATTTCATTTTCACAGAGGACCGTCCACTGATGACGTTTTTGAGAGGCAGTAGTTTCTCATTAGAGAAATGCAAGAGGAAGTTAGACATGTACTTCACATTACGCGCTGCTTGTCCAGAATTCTTCACTAACAGAGACGCCACAAGCCCAGAACTTGAAGAAATACTTAGTAAAAAAATGTAAGTGTTTTTCACCTATTGAAAGCAACATTATAAGCGAGCAATATGTATAGTATTTTATTTTCAAGAATCCATACAAATCAGGGGCGGGTTGTTAGTAATAGACAATACGAGTATGTCCTCTCCGACGTGCGCGATTGCTTTTTTCTTTGACGGGTGTGAGGTCATTTATGGACGCAATGCCTACTTACCTCGACCTTTGTTCCAAGGGCATAGTAACCCATCATTGTTCTTTAATTGTTATTTAACATTACGCAAGTCTGTAATAGTCTAGGTCGTTATAAATACTGGAATTTTGTCGCGTGACCGACGCAGTTATAAATGACTTTCATTATTTTGATAAGGTGTTGTTATAACAAGTATTAATTAAAATAATTAAATATAATTAAACATAAAAAACATAACATTATTTAAGAACTAATACTAGTAATAATAATTAAGAGATTTATTTAAAATATAAAATGAAAGAGTAACATTTTAGTATTTCAATCCTCATTAAAAACGCAATAAACGCATGGGGGGGTATCATGGACGAAACAGTATACTCTGTTATGTCCATGGTATTGCTCATATCTATAGGTGATGGTTAATATTTTCTATCAGGTGGGCCGTCAACATGTTTGCCATTCTAAGTTGCATAAAAAAATTAATTGAACACTGACTTGAGTATGGGTATTCAAATGCTTCATCATGTACTTCTTTTAATTGATTTCTAAAGCTTACTTAATGTTTTGGAGAGAAGAATTAAGAAACTATCTATCTTCTTTTAAAAATATAATAAATGTTTCGTTATTTGATATTATTTTCTTTAAAAATAAATAAAAAGGGAAGAAGGAAACAGATAATAATGAAACTCCTAAAAAAATATGTTCACTTTCATGAAAACTATCACTTGTCCTCATTAGTTTTTACCCGATACTTTTATCCCCGTTGGAGATATTATCGTTTATATTATTCTTCACCCCAAATAGTACGTGCCAAATTGTAAAATTTTGTGATTATTTGTTGAGCCATTAAAGTAGTAAGAGGTGACAAAAATACACATAATACAAACTTTCACATTTATAGTCAGTACTTTATTTCGAAATATACCAAACTGTAACTGTATCTCTTTTATTTACAGACAAGGTCCTCCGCTATCAGGTTTGACACCGAATGGAAGGAGAGTCACCATATGCAGAGGTATGTATATATATTAAATAAACATAGAACTGTAATTCCTAATAAGATAGTCAGATTGTGATGCTATTATGATCTATTATTTTTATTTATTTATTTATTTATATATTATGACAATTAGAGTTAATTTTCATAAGATTCTGCAGAGTTATATCAAAATTATATACGCATACAAAATTTATATTAATTATATTAACCAAAATATAAAATCCACCCAATAGTCTCCTAATATTTATTTTTAAACTCATATCAACATTTTTTGGAAACAACAAACCTAGTAAATTTATTAAACTCTCATTGTCTAGTTATTGATATACAAATAGTTTCTTATTATTGTCTGCTACGTAATACCGTATTATTATTACAGAATATATACATTATTACAGAAACAGTATTTGAAATTAAATTAGTAACAAATCAAAATATTTATTCATATAGGTAGTGGATTTATTTGTTTATTTATATTTTCATTAAACTCTATTGTTTTAAACTATAATTACCTCAAAAAAATAATAAGAATCGAGGACTATTTAAATTGTGTTGCCATGTTACAATACTGATTGCAGTTTAAAAAAAAATAAAGGCAAATTACAGAAAGTGCACCATAAGGTCATTGTACTCTCCTAGGGCCGTTTACATAGAACTGGTAGGCTTACTTGTAAAACAGGTTCTGTTGTATGCAGTATGCACACCTCGTCGTGTTTCCTTTTCAAAAATGTCAATCATTATGTAGAGACAGTTGAGTAAAGATCAAGGAATATGGAATAAGGAAGCCCCCCATTTTCACCATTTCCTGCTATAGGTAGTTGTAGGTACAGGGTAGAATCACTTTCTAGAATAAATAGATTCTTAAAGTATTATTAAATTACGTAATTGTATTGGATGGAGAAAGTCAACAAAACGGGATCCTTTCCTTAAAAAAATGTTCTTGGTTATAGTCTGCTATTCAATTGTGTTCCATAAAAAAACGGTCTTCGTTGTCAACGATTGTGAAAAAACCAGTTATTTTGATTTAAAAACTAAACTACTTGACCGATTTTAATAAAATTTCTATAGGATCAATCTGTAAGTATATCCTTGCAGATAAAATTAATCCAAATCGATTTAAAACTGACTTAGACTATGAGGTAAAAAAAACATAAAAAATACAACCGAATTGAGACTCGCTTTCTTTTTGAATTCGGTTGACAATAGTACTTAATTATAATCATCAATCAACTCATATAATGACATTTAATAATTTAATTATATTTTAATCTTTATCACAACACAAGGCATGCTGTGCTTACCTATAAATATAAGAACAGTAAGATCTAATCTACCAGTGTATTTTATTAAAATGTTTAGCTGTATCTTATGTTGGTGATCCTATAAATAATTAAATGAATAAAATTTAATCAAATGAATAACTGATCCAATCACAAAACAGTCTGCTAATTTCCAATAATCGTACAAATTAAAAATCAATTAATTGAGGTATTTCTACTTCACCTTGGGGTCCATTCCAAGGCGCTATTTCTCTAAACCTATCTCTAAAATTTAATATCATCTCAACATTATAGCGATTATTAACAATTACAGTTTATCAATAAATTAATTAAATGAATGTTTTGATTTGTTGCTAATTTCATTTAGATAATGTTTCCATATCAATTTTAATAAAACTTGTTTACTTTTTAAACCCTACCCAAAGAGACTATACTTTTTTTTATACAATTTAGAATTGCAAACAAACTGACGACCCACCTGATGGAAAGTGATAACCGTCGCCTATAGACATGAACAGTACCATTAACATAACAGAGTATACTGTTTCGCCCATGATACCCCCATGCGTTGCCATTCCTGAGGACTCAGGTGTTATTCTTCTGTACCCAGTAATTTCAAATACACTATCGGGACTTAACGCGATGATAAATTCTTAATTTAAAATATTAAAAATAAAAATTATAATATGTGTAAAGAACGCGAAAATTTAAAACAAACAGACTATATTTGCATACATCACGTTCCTGCAACATATTTGAAATAATCACTATAGGTAGTAGAAGTAGGAAGAGTAGAGAGTAGAGAGAGTTTAATAGTTTCTCTTACCAATTATCTAGAAAGGTAGATGATCGTAATTTGATGACCAGTGAAAGCGCGTAATTAATTAAAGTTTATTTTAGGCGTTCACCCCAATTTGGACGCTCAACAAATAATAGACTGCCTCAAGCTGGCCCTGATGATAGGAGACGTGCGACTTTTGGAAGAATTAGAAGGAGTTGCCGGAGATGTTTACGTGCTGGACGCGGATATTTTGGGGCCCAGTTTGTTGGCGAAATTATCCCCTACTACTGTTAAGAAGTTCATGATATGTGTACAGGTTGGTTTGTAGCATAAACTTATCTTTATTTGGATGTAAATTATTTGTAATAATTTATAAATGTAAAAAAAAAAACGCTCTCGGGTATGTAAATACCTAGTTAAATGCTCAAATTTATTGTCAGTTTTTCGTCATTTTTTTTTATTGGTATGAGATTTTATAGTATATTTTTATACATTTTCAACAACGAACATGCTTTTGACTCATCTTATGAATTGTTATTACCATCACCAAGCATCACCAGACATCAACAGCACCATGAACATAAACCATTTCCATAAACGCTCTAAATACATTCTGTGATTACATAAATAGTCTTAAGTACTGTTAAGCATCTTTAATCCATAACTTTACTCCAATATCAAACCAAAACACACTCATTCGAACGGCGACTTCACAGCAAAATACTAGAAGTAACTTTTGTACAAGTCCTTTACAGTAGAAATTTCACCGTGCCAAAAATAATATCGAGTGAGGTCAACGAGTCGCTAATAAATTTCATGAATAAACCTTTTGTACTTTTAGGAGGCGTATCCGGTCAAACTGAAGGAAGTTCACATCGTAAACACCTCACCCATTGTAGAAGCATTCATCAACTTAGTGAAACCGTTCCTCAAAGAGAAAATTAGAAAACGGGTAAGTGATAAATTAAATACTTAAACTAAACTATTTCAACGGATTATTTGAAAAAAAAGTTTTTTCTTATCTAGTTAGTATTATGTTGCAACGTTAGATTATACAGATAGAGTGTCTCCATAGAAATGCTTTCAGAAAAACGGGTCAACTTTTTCATACAATTTTGCGTGATAAATAGTTATGAGTGATTCCTTTATAACTTCTATATTTATTTTGTCTTATAAATTCTGCATCTTTTTAATGCGTAAACACTCATTTTATTTATTAAACAATACGTCAAGGTACATTTTATGTGTGAATATATAGAATATTGATAAAAAAAAACGAGTCAGCTAATTTGACAATTAGCTGACAAAAAGTTGATCCGTTTTTGATGCTCGATGCTCTATCTATATAATCTAAAGTTGCAACATGTTAAGAATTGAAAAAAAAAGTCTACTTGTCTTTCACTATACTTGCAAAACTTCGAACATACACATCAAGGCTAAGTCAATGATTCTGACAGTCTGCAACCTTGACTTCAGATTGTGTGCAAAAAGATAATAACATTAGCATGAACTTCACTGAATACAGCGTACACTTATAACACTCTCCTATTTCAATAGTTTTAAGGACCAACGTGTTTTGTGGGGAACGGGGAGAGGATTGTTAGTAATGGGGTTTGATTTCCCTATAACTAGCAATACCCTATCAGGTCGACCTCAACGCGGTTCCCCTGTAAACTACTGTGATTTATTCTAGTGGAATTCGTCATGATTGGCTAACTGACCTGCTTTCATCCTCACCTAACATCCTTCACTGGTGTACCGTCAGCTTATACCGATAGCGCAGGCAGGTTTACTATTTCATTATCACATATTAAAGACACGTGTTTTATGTACCCTATAATTTCACTACCATATTTTTTTATACAACTTAGAATGGCAAACAGGCTGACGGCCCACCTAATGGAAAGTGGTAACCGTCGCCTATAGACATGAGCAGTACCATGGACATAACAGAGTATATGTTTCACCCACGATACCCCCCATGCGTTGCCATTCCTGAGGACTCAGGTATTATTCCTCTGTACCCAGTAAATTCACGCCATATCCCACCCTTCAAACCGAAACACAGCCATGCAAACACAACTGCTTCACGGTTGAAACACGAATGGGACAGAGGTACCCAAGCAATCGACTTTTGTACAAAATTTTCATCTGGTTAACTTAAGTTAACTTGAATAAAAAGTATTGTTATTTATTTATTTTTTATCTTTAAAGAGAATACTAAATAAACCAATTTACCAATTTCAGATATTCATTCACAAGGACATAAAGGATCTCTACAAGTATGTTCCGCAAGACATGCTGCCAGTCGAGTACGGCGGTACATGTGGTACCATGAATGAGATCCATGGTAAAATTAACATTATTTATTCTTAGATAAACATGACCTATATATGGACATAATTATGCAAAAACGTTCTTTATTTACAAGGATGCATTATTAACCGAATTAAAAAAGAAAGAGGTCCTTAATTCTCTCGTATTGTTTTATGTTTATTACCTCATAATCCCATAAGTTCTAAGCCGATTTGGCAAAAATATTTTTTTATCTGAAAAGATCTTTTTTTATCTTTTTTCTTCTTTTACCTTGGTATAAAAAAGGATATACTCACAAAATCGATCCCATAGAAATTTTATCAAAATCGATTCAGTAATTGAGTTTTTAGATCAAAATAACATTTTATTTTTGTAGGACTGGTAGAATGTTTATTTATTCTTTATTAACCACATTATAAAAAAAAAACCGTTTAATACAAAAGGCGGACTTAATGCTATAGAGCATTATCTTTCAGTCAACCTTTCAAAGGTTGACATATCATTTATGGAAAGGTGCATAAATATACCGAATTACTATAATTTTATTACGCTATTGACACCAAAGATAAAAATATTTTAATACAAAATGCTAATACATTTTGTATTAAAATATTTATTTATTTATTATTTATTAAAATATTTAATATACTATAATGGTACTGTAAGTTAGCAGGACAAATATAAAAGAGAATAAAGGCTAAACTCGCCTTTTTAATTACAAGAGTTTGTTTAAATCTTCGTCATCTTCAAATCTTAAACATCTTCAAATACTGAACATATGCCTCTGTACGAAATCGTTCTCCTTTCATCGAATTATTACAACACATTTGAGGAGAATTGTCTTTCACTGTATTTGTCCATTATACTCACTACAAACTTTGAACGGACGATCCCTTATTATATGACCAACCATATCATGATTATCATATCAGCCGTTGATAGTACACTGCTAAACATAGGCTTCACCCATAAGAGGTATAGTTGCCATGCTTGACAGGTGGGTTGGCATCGCAGCTAAGGTCTGGTGATGTTTTAAAAGGGACGCTGCTATTTGCAGCCTGGACCTGGACTATTAAATTACCTTAGTCGTCTCTTACGACATCCACGGGAAAGGAAGGAGTGGCTTATTCTATACCGAAACTATACCGAAACTATAAACGATAGACTTTCCTAAGCTCCTACAAAAATGGGAAATAACAGATCCTGTGCTTGCAGACATTTCTTTGTTTAATTATTATCAATATTCTTTATCTACATTTCAGAACAATGGATAAACAAGCTGAAAGAGTACCGCGACTGGTTCGCTGCGCAGGAGTCGGTGAAAGCGAACGAAGCGCTGCGACCGGGCCGACCGACAAACTATGACGAACTATTCGGCATAGACGGTTCATTTAGACAACTCTCTATTGACTGACGAAGTGTACTGCCTATATTGTGATATTGGTTTAGTTTCTATTGCATAAGAATAAATAAACTCAGTGGAAGTGACACTCATATGCTTTCGTTTGTGAATGCAGCAATACCACTACAATGTACTCTCTCCCGTCAGAACCCAGATAGATGAGAACGGTTGCCACAAACTCGCATTTACCAACAAATATTACAATCCAATGAAACACGAGAGCCTACCATGAAATGTTGCATACCGTTTAAAAATGTTAAAATATCGTTTCTTTGGACTTTTATGGTAGGATCTATGACTAACGAAACGTTCAGCTCCATTTACTGGGGCAATTTCGGTATGAACAAAATCATAAAATTGTGTCCGAAAATTCGGAAATTCATTTCATGGTAATCCCGTGTTAGATAGATAGATAGATAATTTATTTGCTTTACTTACAGCACACAAATAACAACAAACATAGATAAACATGCATAATAAAATAAAAAAAAAAAATGCATAAAAGAAGTAACAATTTTTCCCTTCATGCGTGTGCCACAGTAACACAAAATAATTTAACTCAGCTTTATTGCTTTGCCCTCAAAAGAGCAAAACACTGATATTCTGTTGTGGCCAAAAGCTAGCTTCGAAATTCCTTAGCAAAAATAATAAAAAGCGAGTTCAAGTAAGCCAGACATGCACTTTCGCTACGATGTATATTGCTTGCCAGCCCTGATCAAATCAGATCTTTAATGAATTTTTAAATTATTAAGAAGCCAACGAACACAAGAGTATCTCTTCTACCTGATTATTTATTCTTATGCTCTATTGTATACTAATTTCATGGCGAAAATAAAGTAATTATAAATATTTAATAATAAAAAATGTACTCGTGATATTTTTAACATAAGATATTATACTTATTCATAAGAAAACATTAGGATTAATGTTATGTAAAATTAATATTCAATAAAAATATAATTAGATTAATTTTGTAATTTTTTGGTAACCATACCTTAATTATTAGTTTACGCTAGGTGAAGGATGATAGACGAAGATAAAGTTAGATCAATTAGCTCATCGTGTTAAATTCACCACATTTTTTTTAATGGGTGATAATTTATTTATTTATTTGAAAATTATTTACCACACTTACAGTCTACCAAAACGTGTAGTGAGCCATAGGTTTATTTTACAAACTTACAAATTTTGTACAACATTTTAAAAATATATTTATTTTGTCATTAAATATGTCAATATCTGGCTGCTGAGCCCGCCATAATGGAATGGTAACCCCGCCTGCGCTATCGGTATACACTGTATGGGCACCAATGAGGGATGATAGGTGACGATGAAAGCAGGTCAATTAGCCCATCAAGACCAATTCTACTAGAATTAACCATGACAGTTTCCAGGGAGAACTGCGTGGAGGTCAACCTGATAGAGTGTATTGCTAATAATGGGAAAATTAAACTCCATTACTAACAATTCCTTTCCCAATGGTGATGAATTGATAAATCCTCCTACGCTACCCATCATGATAAATTGAACAATAAATCAATTACGATGGTTTCCATGAGGTGCCGCGTGGAGGTCAACTGGACAGAGTATATTACCATAAACAGATTGGTAGTAAGGAAAAAGGATTGTTAATAATGAGATTGTTAATCCCCATTGCTAGTAATATACTCTATCAGGGCGACCTCTACACGGTTCTTCCTGGAAACCAACCTGGTTAATTCCTAATTAATACACTATGATGTGCCAACTGACCATACTTTATCGTTTTCTATTATCCCTAACTGGTGCCTCGCCGTTGTATACCGTTACAATAGGCGAGTACAGAGAGGAAACGGATCGTTAGTAATGGGGTTAAATAGCCCCATTACTAGCAATATACCCTGTCAGGTATATTGCTAATAATGGGGTTCCATGTGGTTCCCCCTGGAAACCATCGTGGCTAATTCTAGTTGAATTCATCAGGATGGTCTAACTGCCCTGCTTTCATCCTTATCAGTCATCTATCACTAGTGCCCAGCCAGTATATATCGATAGCACAGACTTGGTTACTATATCATTATCACCCATTAAAAAAAAATAGGCGGGTACACCATTTTATCTTCATCAATCAATCTCAATCATCAAACAATCTCCACCAACTCCTAAAGGGCGTCACCGTGTATTCTATGGCGTCCATTGTGTCTATAGACGACATTTACTACCTTTTTCAGGTGGATGGTCAGCTCGTTTTCCATACCCATCACAAAAATCAACTCTACCCTTTCTCATAACTAATTTCTTTCAAAAAAGTAGATACAATTATACATTTTTCTCCGATACAATAAAACAAATTATTAAAAACTTTTGGATATGTTTTATTTGTTTATAATAATCAATTACATTAATCTATATTGAAAGGGTAATGGGGATGATCCTTCCAATAGCTGGTGTCGAATACTCTTCTGTTCTTATTAAATTTGTTTATGGTGTTTATCTCGTCGGGAGTAAGTTGAAAGTCAAATACGTCTATGTTCTTTTTCAGACGCTCCTTGTTAGTCGACTTTGGTACCGGAATTGTTCCTCTGTCAATCTGTTAATACAATAATTTTATTTTAATGGAATCATCATTTATTCATCATCATCATTTCAGCCATTATTCGTTCATTACTAAACATAAGCCTCCCCCATAGACTGTCATAAGGAACAGTCCTGAGCCAACTGCCTCCCTACAATTTGAGGTCGTCATTCCATCTTGTGGGGGTTGTTCTACACTGCGTTTGCGCATAAGGGGTCGCCATTCAAGAACCTTTCTTCCCCATCGCTTATCGGTTCTTCAATCTATGTGACTAGCCCATTGCCACTTCAGCTTGCATATCCTTCGGGCTATGTCGGTTACTTTGGTTCTTTTGAGAATATTCTCGTTTCGGATTATATCACGCAAAAAAAGCTCTGAGCATAGCCCTCTCCATAGCCCGCAGAGTAATTTGAAGCTTTTGTATACGGGCAATCATGTAGAATCATGTTTTGGTCCCATTATCATTTATTTTTAGAGCATAATAGTACGAAATTATACAGAGATTATAGTATGAGTATATTTGTACAAACCCGGTCCCCAGAACCAATCCAGTTTCCCTTATAATCCCCCCCGCACAACTACAATGGCCCCCTTTCCCTTTTCCCAATAAATCCATCATTCCTTTTTTACCTACTCCCTTTAGTCACTCCTAAAGACCCCCTCCTTTTTCCTCATTCCTTTCCTCCATATATATAAACTTACCAAATATCTAAGCACTACTTGACTAGTACTCTTTCCGTATTTCCTAGCAATATTCTCAAGGATAGGATCATCAATTCTGGGAGGTGGAGCATCAGTGACGTCCCTTGATACGAGGAAACCGAACGGGCTGTACGCCATCACGTTTATGCCCCAATTATGACAGAAGGGGATCAGCTTTTCCTGCGTCAGAGCTGGATGCACCTGTGCAGGTAATTTATTGGTTTAAATTTAAGATAACGGGAGGTGTTAAGGCTGCGTTTTATACTGACTAGGTGTATTAAAATTGAATAACTAGATAAATAAACGTACATTTCGAAACGTAGTGCATGTAGTGTACATTCATTCGCTCACTCACACACACTCATTCAATCACCGCTAATTCCTTCACTCACTCACTTATTAATTTATAGTATAGTATCTCACAGATGAGCAAAACGCAAAAACCTCTTTCGCTTTTTTTAAATTTTTTATACAACATAGAATGGCAAACAAGCTGACGGCCCACCTGATGGAAAGTGATAACCGTCGCCTATAGACATGAGCAGTACCATGGACATAACAGAGTATACTGTTTCGCCCATGATACCCCACATGCGTTGCCACTGCCATGCATTCTCATCAGAAGGCCGCTGGCTAATGTTGCACTGTTTTACTTGGTGGGATTTACAGTGAGTCAACACCCAAGAATTTGGCTTTGTATATAGTATTAGTAGAGATTAAAGTACCATACGTTAGTATAGACGATAACACTTATGCTATGGAAATTGGACAATAGATAGATATACCTAAAAATAATGTTTAGATTTTTTTACAAATACTATATTTATTATGCATAATATATTAAAATCAATACACAACAAGCAAACATATTGAATATACATACAATTGTTTGTATATGTTATTTGGTGATCGAACCAGTAACCACCGAACAACAACAACATGATCTTCTCTTGCCCGCCGGGTGATGTGTGGGCGGGCGAGGTAAGGACCTCGGGGCGTACCCCATTACCCCGGCTTCTACTCCGGAGGCGACGACCTCCGGGTCACTGGGTTTGCAACCAGCATACACTGTTGGTCTGTGTACGCCGGCGTGGTGTCTTAACCATCGAAAGGTGAAGTAGAGAGAGTAGTTTTACCAGAGGGAGACTTTGTAAAAAAGTCGTTTGCTTGGACACCTCTGTCCCATTCATATTTCTACCGTGAAGCAGTCGTGTTTGCATGGCTGTGTTTCGATTTGAAATTACAGTGAATTTACAGGGTACAGAGGAATAACACCTGAGTCCTCAGGAATGGCAACGCATGGGGGGTAACATGGGCGAAACAGTGTACTCTGTTGTCGTTGGTACTGCTCATGTTTATAGGTGACAATTACCACTTTCCATCAGGTAGGCCGTCAGCTTGTTTGCCATTATAAATTGCATAAAAAAAAGAAGTAATAAATGATAACTGTGAACACTATTCATAATCTGTGATTTGAAATATAGACTAAGTATGTATTAATTTATGGTAGATTGTATTTTTTAAAAATCTCTCTCTGGTTCCTGCTTTGTAACATGGTCAGCGGAATAAAGCTTGCTCTGCGTAATTACCGGGTTTAATTAAGATTATCCCATAAAATAACTGCTAAAACGTTCAATAAAGTTAAAGACAATATTAATTAGGAATAAAAAAATACCTCGATCTGATTAACAGCTGGCACTATTTCACAATTGTCAATAATGCGCTTGATTTGTACACTGTTGAAGTTGGACACGCCTATGGACTTGGCCAGGCCAAGTTTCTTGGCTTCCTGCATACCGATCCATGTTTCTAAATAATCAATATAATCATAAGTTCCATCGGCCTAGAAATAGAAAATTACAAATTAGTAATTTGATACTGTTTTTATTTATCTTTAATTAGGAATAGATGTTTATTTTGTAATATCCACTGTTTGCTATTACTTTGGAATTTTCGAAAAATTTCTTTTTAGTTCTGATATAAATGTTATAAAAATTTGTTCTACAAACACTGACTTCAATCGTGGCAAAACAAAAAAATCCTAACACGCTATAAACATACCTATTATATAGTGCCGTTGATACAAATACTAGATTCTTTTAAGAATTTTTATTTATATTTTTTTTTTTTAGCTTTTGTGATTACATAATTTTATAAAAAAAATTTAGAACCTACGATACGAGTAATATTTATTTTCAAGAATGGGTTGCGCTAATTAACAGGCTATATTTTAAACAAAAAACATGGGGAAAATTCAAAATAAAGTAGGTACAATATTTTATGCAGGTATTGTAAACATATTGGTTCATACGTTCTAGTTACATACCCTTTGTGATCCAGGACTGTGAATAAGGTACAGATCTACGTAGTCCAAGCCGAGTTTACTGAGGGACTCGTTGAGTGCCGGCACCACTTGCTCGCATGCATGTCTGTCATTCCACAGCTAAAATAAAAATTTTATTATAACACAGGAGCTAAATGAGCATGCAGCTTGCTTGATGGTAAGTGACTAACGCCGCCCATGAGCACCCACAACACCGGAGGAATTGCTGGCGTGCTGACCTTTCAAAAAGTTATATACTTTTATCTGGAAGGTTACAATATTTTATTATATATATATATATATATTAGATTTTATAGTCGATTGCTTGGGTACCTCTGTCCCATTCCTGTTTCAACCGAAGCAGTTGTGTTGTGTGTGTTTGCATGGCTGTGTTCCGGTTTGAAGGGTGGGATATGGCGTGAATTTACTGGATACAGAGGAATAACACCTGAGTCCTCAGGAATGGCAACGCATGGGGGGTATCATGGGCGAAACAGTATACTCTGTTATGTCCATGGTACTGCTCATGTCTATAGGCGACGGTTACCACTTTCCATCAGGTGGGCCGTCAGCTTGTTTGCCATTCTAAGTTGTATAAAAAAAATCATTTCAGAGATACTGCTGCTAGGAATTGATTCCAGTGTGGTTGTGTGTAAAAGAAAGTGCCTTGAAAAACGCTCTGTACAATAAAACTTTGGTTTGTAGCGGGTTGTACGATAGTGAAAAGCCGCAGGAGATATTAAACCGAACAATTGTTCATAAAACTTCCCATAATACATTCTAGCTTTCTACATACAAACGAACAATCGAATATTTCTTCTTTGTAATATCAGCGTATACAAATAACCCGAATCGCTAACCTTTGTAGTGATGAACAAGTCTTCTCTCTTCACGAGGCCTTTTTGAATGACATCTCGTATGCCTTCGCCAATTTGTTCCTCGTTCTTATAAAGCGCAGCAGTGTCGATATGCCTGTAACCGGCTTCGACCGCGTCATTTACTGTTTGTCGTAACTTTGCACGGTCTTCATCCTGGAATTAAATAATCATAGTGTAGTGGTAGGTATAAGTAAATATTCGAAATCCTTTTTTTTATTTCTCGTTTATAATTATATTTTTCAGTACGATTATTTTTGTTTCCACTTCTTATAGTTCGCACATTGTCCGTTGGTAATTAATGCTCCTTTCCATTCAAGGAATTTGCCGGAAGAGAACTCTTACAGAGTTAAGATAGATAGATAGATAATGTATTTGCATTACTTACTTACAGCACACAAATTACAACATACATATACAAAAAAAGCGAGATAACATAAATGATAAAAAAAAATACATAAAGCTAAATACAATTTTTGTTTGTGAGTGTGCCATAGCAATACAAGTTAAGCTCTTATTACATCCCTTACTGATATCCCGCTTGAATATACCAACAGCGAAAATTTGGTTTATTATTTATTTTTATCCCTTAAAAAACATACCTAAAACAAACAACCTACAGACAAGAAATAATACAAATGATTTGAAAACTTTCTATTTTTGAAGTCATTTAAAAATAATTACTCACTGATCCAAATGTGCCCAATGCTAAAATTGGTATCATATTTCCATCGTTCAACCGTGCTCTCGGTGCCTTTTCAGCACTGGCTACCTGAAAATAATATAAGTCATTAATTAAAATAACTTATCAATATATTTCGAAATTTAAATTTAATGTACGTTTTAAAACTTATAAAAAGTATACAATACCTTCCTAGTTTCAAAACAAAAGTTAAGAACTTCTATCTGAGTAAGTTGTCATATTTATAATTTGTGTTTGATTAGCATACTCATATTATTTATATTTTTGTGACTACATATATATGTAATTCGCATGTGTATAAATTTGTATGTATATGTATTTATATATTTATATGTATATATGGATTTATTTAAGTTAAAATGTAAATTTATGTATGTACAAATTAAAAAAAAACAGAGTTTCATGCATCCAGTCAAATTATTTATAAATACTCTTCTCCATCAGAAAATTTTAAAAATAATTGTTTTTCCATCTATTGATTCTCGAGTCTCCTCATTTAATTATATATATAATTAAATGATAATTTATATATATATATATATATATATATATATATATATATATATATATATATATATATATATATATATATATATATATATATTAGTAAGATATAATCTTACTAGATGGAAGGACTGGACTGAAGGATGGAAATAATGCACATAGTGCCTTCTAGATACTTCCTGTTGAATTCGTTCCTCCTACTTCATCTCCACATATCATCCCTTTGCTATCCTATCATCATCCCGCCAGCTTAAATCAATAGCGCATGGGATACCCAATCCATTCTCTGAATTCATAGTATATAGTTTCATTCTATCAACTATTCTGATCTAGTTGAATAGTAACTATCGTGAGTCATACTTTTTACTTATATTTTAAATCACCGTGAACCGCGCTCAAGAATATAGGCTTCTGTTGAATTCGAAACTAGTCATGCATCCCCAAATTAAAAATATGAGTAAAGCCAACATAAATTTTCAATTCTCTTTCATCATGGCTAAGTTTTAACAAATCATTCGTAAATGCTTTCGTGATTCACGCGTCTGTTGGCCATTTGAGAGATTTTTGCATCGTGACATTACGTAAAGTTCAAGACAAACATAAACCTCTTTTGAAATCGGAACTAATTTATAAATTACTTTTAACTCGTGGTTTTATCTGAATGCACTATAAAGTTTATTGCTTGCAAATCTAGGATTATAGTCCGTCCAAATGCTTTTTATTCAAATCCGTTCAGCAATTTAGACTTGATTAAGTAAAATGACTAAATGTCAAAATGACTTCACAGTGGAGAGGGAAGGGATTGTTATTATCTATATTGTCAGGTCGACCTCTACATGGCCCCCTCTTTAAACCGTCATGCGAAACTCCAAGTGTGTTCTTCACGATGGACTAACTGATTTACCTTTTTAGTCTCACCTACCATCCCTCAGTGGTACCCCGCAGCGTATACCATTAGCGCAGGCAGAGTTTAACTTTTCATTACTATCTATTAAAAAAAAATTGCTTCACAAACTTTCACCAATGAGTTAGACTAGTAAACGACCCTAATATAAATGACTTACATGGGATAAAGTAATCATAAAAACTAAAACTCCCTACAAACCTATTTTAGCTATTAATATATTTTGTCACTTTCTTTCAAATTGAGAATATGCGACATATAGATAGGTTTATTCTCATGAACGGTTTGACGTTTTTATTGTTAAAGTACTTAATCTTTATTTATAAAATGAAATATCCTGGCTGACTATCAACACACATTCAAAACTATAAAATATAGAAAGGTGAAATTTTAAACAAAAAACCATCTGCTATAAAAACATCCACTAAAAAAGGTTTTTTACATAGTCATGACATTAAGTCTTGTTACTACATTTACAATTTAATTAACGTGATAATGTTTATAATACATATTTATTTATATATAGCAATCAGTATAAATTATATTATAGGAAGTGAACAATTAAGAAATTCCTGCTCAATAACTAACATTGTATTACTCATATAAGTTAGCAAGTAAGTACTTACTTTGTTGCAATATAATATATTGAAACTTAACTGATTTATTAAAATTATTCTACTTAAAACAGCATATTTTGATCAAAATGACGCTGTTTTCAAAATCTGTACCAATTTTGTAATCATTTTAAATAAACCGTCGTTTTATTTGTTTATATTTCATCGTCATATCAGCCTTTAAAAGTCCATTGCTGAATGTAAATCTCACCCATAAGGGGGTTTTGCCAATAGTTGCCACGCTTGGCATGCAGATGACAATCGTAGGATTTGGGATATTGGTTAAGAGGGACATTGCTGATCATTATCGACCATTAAGTTCCCTTGGTCTCGTCTTATGACATCCACGGGAAAAAAAGGGTGGCCCACTCTATGCCGGGACCACATGGCAATTATTATTAATATTTACTATTTTATAAATACCAATACTGTAATTTCAGATCTCAGTGCACTTTGACAAGAAATCGGACATTGGAACATAAGTAAAAGAAAAAACTACACGCCAGTCAATAATTATATGACCTTTGAAACGTTTTTTGCCACCCAATACAATAAATCAATATGAAAATGATCTATTAATCATTAAACTATTTATTAGATAATATTATTTCACGATGCCTACAAATAAGCACTTGTGTGTGTGCACATTAAATAAATAAGGAAAATCCTACGGGGATTTCCTTAATATTTTAATCTATTCATGATAGGTTTTTTTTTTATGCAACTTAGAATGGCAAACAAGCTGACGGCCCACTTGATGGAAAATCGTTACCGTCGCCTATAGACATGAACAGTACCATGGACATAACAGAGTATACTGTTTCACCCATGATACCCCCCATGCGCTGCCATTTCTAAAGACTCAGGTGTTATTCCTCTGTACCCTGTAAATTAAGTACCATATCCCACCCTTCGAACCTAAACACAGCCATGCAAACACAAGTGCTTCACGGTAGAAACACAGAAACACGAATATGACAGAGGTGCCTAAGCAAATAACTTTTGTACAGTTTTCCTCTTATATATATATATATATATATATATATATATATATATATATATATATACTGACTATCAATTTTTAAAAAACTACCTGTATTAGTTGTATTCGTTGCTCTCAGTGCATTAACCTTGTACATTACTACTTATTAATATTATAAATTTGAAAGTGAGTTTGTTTGTTTGTTACATTTTAGCGCCTTAATAGCTTATGTTATTTTTTTTATATTTTAATATTATTACTATATTATTTTAGTAATTGCAAATAGAACATTTGCACACCTATGTAATGATAAATACTGTTGAACAATTGTTATTAATTTAAAGATCTAAAAGTGGCAATCACCAATGTTTAGGAAATAAAAATTCATTAGTACATTCATTTAACCAATCACTATGAAATTAGGTATGTACATACTATACCGAACGGAAAAGATTTTAGGGTATTTTTATCCCGGTTAGTGAATACATACTGGTCACATGGATAAAGTTGCAAATAAAACCTGCTATATTTTAATCCAACGTGGCAGTAGGCGAGCTTACCCTACTGCGGTTACTTGAATTTATTTAGTTTGTTATCAGTATTTTCTATCACTGGAGAGTTAGTCGAAAAATCACATTTACATACAAATTTTTAGTTATTTATTCATTTTTTATTTATTCATTCGTTGAATTACTATTTAGAACCCATAAACAAGTCGACGAACTTTTATATTTTTTTACCGTAAAACTCTACGACTCAACAATGAACAACTCATATATAAAAAAAAGAAACATAAAAAATAAGTAAAACATAGACAAAATCAATATGGTTACCAACAGTTATAGAACGCCTTGGCCTTAACTTTTAAACTTGTGCCGTTCTAATAAAATGTTAACAGAAGATTCGCTATCAAGTTACATTTACAACACGATCTCTAAAAGCGGGTCATTTTAAATGTCACTGCAGTTACATTGGCTTTTATTATATCTGGTAAATTATACCACATTATATATTTAAAATAAAAGAAAATAGTATGAAAACTTGAAAAATATAGAAAATAAAAAGCACTTAGTGAGCCAGCATAGTAAGATCAACAGTAGAGAGTAAATAATTCTCTTTTCGATTGTTTGTATTCATGGACCATATTGTCTATGTTTTAGTTCAAGATGGTGTGGCCACATATCGTGCTATAATTTAAAAAAAAAGATAACTAATTCCTACTAGCCTATTCTACTATTTTATCTGGTATATTATATAACGCGGATTAAAAAAAAAGCGCATATCCTTCTCCGTCTCAAAAACTACATGCAAACCATAGATTGAGGAATTATTAATAATGGGGATTAGCAATTCTATTGCAGGCAATATACTCTGTCAGGTCGACCTGCATATAGTTCTTCCTGAAAACTATCTTAATTTACTAATTGTTGAATTCATCAAGATGACCTAACTGATCTAAGTTAACTGCTTTATTATCACTTATCATCACTCTGGTAGCGTATATCAATAGCGCAGGCGGAGTTACCATTTTTTTTTATACAACTTAGAATGATAAACAAGCTGACGGTCCACCTGATGGAAAGTGGTAACCGTCGCCTATAGACATGTACAGTACCATGGACATAACAGAGTATACTGTTTCGCCCATGATACCCTCCATGCGTTGCCATTCCTGAGGACTCAGGTGTTATTCCTCTGTACCCAGTAAATTCATGCCATATCCCACCCTTCAAACCGAAACACAGCCAGCTGCTTCACGGTTGAAACACGAATGGGACAGAGGTACCCAAGCAATCGACTTTTGTACAAAGTCTCCCTCTTATACATATATATTACACCACGTAGGTGGCAACATTACCAACCAATAGATAAAAAACTATGTGTAAACCAAATCCCATGACAGTTGGTTGAACCGTTAAAACGCTAAGAGGTAATAATAAGGAAATAAACAAACAAATTCTCTCACATTTATAAACCAATAAAAATTTACGTGGACTTCTGACAAATTATACTTAGAACTAGCCAGTGATTTTGTACGCATGGATTTAATAAAATGTACCAATTCAAGTTCAAACTTAACATATGGTGCATTTTTTAACTTGATACGCCAATCAAGTAATACATAATATTTTAAGTTCTCTTAATTTCACAGTTGTTTTTCAGTTTCTCTTCTGAAAAACAACTGTGAAAAACCACATCAATTATTTTGATTCGGTTTTTAAATCAAAACGACTGCTACAATTGACGATATTTTTTATGCAACAAATTTTTAAATAATATTATATAAAAAATACAAACTATTGAATTAATATAAGCACAAAATACTCACGATTAACGTGACTAGAAGACAAACCAAGGCTGATAGACGCCGCATCTTACTTCAACCACTGAGAAATACACAATGACTATAAGAACTAGATTCTCAACACAACCCTCTACACTTCTGTTATGTACTTTAAATAAGTGCAGTTATATATCACGATACGACGACGACACGATCGCGTGACGATACATTATTTTTCTTTAAATCATAAGAGAAAAAAGTCATTGACATTTCAATTAGAAGAAAATCCTTATTAATATTATAAATATGGATATGAGTTTGTCTGTTTATTTATTGCCTCTTCTAATTGCCTAATCAATCATTATGAAATTTGTTATATACGTATTGTATAGGATAATGAAGAAAATACGCTCCTTTTTATTCCGGTCAGAGTACATATTCCGATCACGTAAACAAAGTCACGATTGAAAGCTAGTAGTCGAATGAAAACAGAAAAAAAATATAGTACTAAATATAATGATAATGAACGATAGTACTTCCTTGTGATGTAGAGCATAAATGATTACAATGTGTCACCCCTCCTTTTTATCCCTATGTTATATGGGACAATTAGGATAAAAATACAATGTACAAATGCTAAAAAAAGAAAACTCGAAATAAAATTATATATTAGTGATACAAAGCCGAGTACTGACTTAAATAACTACTGGATACTGAGCTACTCGAGTATTTACAAGTATCTACTCAATATATAAAATTCGAATGCTTTCCAAATACTTACTATTTCAAATAGTAAGTATTTGGAAAGCATCGCATATTTATCGTAACTTTTTGTTATTATTTCATGCTTTCTTTCTTAATTACTAAAGGTAAAATTATTAAACAATTGCACATTTATTATCTTTATTAAAAGTAATATTCTAAAATCAATTGAAAAATCGGAATCATATTCGAGTCGTAAATCGTTAAGTATAAATACGACCTGTCCAGTTGATCGAAACTGGTTTGCTAACATCATTGATGAACATTACATAAACCAGAAACATAAGCAATATGTAAGATGAGTTCATAAATCTTCTTAACATGAATGTCAGGGTCCGTTCTCATTGAAAAATAGTAAATTATTGATACGGCGGTGAGCGTAACACGTCCATAACATTATGTACCTACTTATTTTACTAATATATTTTTTAATAATTTATATCTTGTTTTCCTTTAATCGACATTAAATAGGTTAAAAAAGTATACTTTTTTTTTTATTTAACATTTTCCATAAACAAAGGAGATGTTTATGGAAAGTGTTAAGTAAGTGTTAAAAAAATAAATGTTAAACAAATTTCATTAAATATTTAATAAATAAATTTACAAGAGACAGGAATTAACGCCACCATTTAGGTTAACTATTATAAATTACTTGAGTTATCTCGACGTGTTGACCGTTAATAAATCCTGTGTCTTATAAACCATTACTGTACGAGCAAATGCAGTGTAGGGCGCACCCACACTAGGTGAAGTGACGACCACAAATGCGTTGCAGGGTGACAGTAGATGGATCTTGGCTGTTCTTTATGGCAGCTATAGGGCCTATGTTCAACAGTAGACCGATAATGACAGACATGATAATGATAGTAATAAACTATGTAACGCAAAAGTCTAAAAGTTAATAAATAATTTACAAAAATAAGTATCATATTGTTAATTATTAATCATCTTTTCAAATTAAATATTCTATTTTATTACGTGAAATGAAAGTCGGTTAAAAATATCTGAATTTTTGTTACTCGACTACAGACGCTAAAAATACTCGTAGTAATCGTAAACAAACGAGTGAACGAAATAAAATTTGTTATATAAACAGACGGAATCTTAGGGTGTTTGTTACCCTAATTTATGCAGGTCAAGATCCCGTTCTAAAAACTAAAGGTTCCGTGTGGTCCCGGCTTAGAAAAGGCCACCCTTTCCTTTCCCGTGGGTATTGTAAAAAGTAACTAAGGGAACGTAATGGTAAAGAGATGAGCAGCAGTGTCTCTCTTAAAACGTCTCTAAAAGCCTAACTGTGGTTGCCAACCTGCCTACCAAGCGTGGCAACTACTGGCAAAGTCCCCCTTCTGGGAAAGACTTATACTCAGCAGTGGTCAGTTAATGGCTGAAATTATGCGGGTAAAGCTGGAGTAGTGGATAATAAAAGGCTGAATTTATTTTATTTTTTTATTATAAAATTTGTAACAAACCTGTATTACAGCTGCTACTCATTAGTCTGAAATTCGAAATTATTTATTTAAAAAAAAATCTTTAGATCATAGAAAGAGTGCGGTCCTTAATGTATACCTTAGATTAATAATATTGTATCTAAATAGGTATAGGAGGGTAAAGAGAACTATCTCATAAGGAGGAACAGAGCAAAGGTGTGCAGCTGTAAATAATAGTTCCAAATCCCTCCAGAATGGCGCTAGAGTAGCATTAGAATATAAATTGAAGTTAGCAATGGAGTGAAGTGTGCCGAGTTAAAAAAATTTAAATTTTGATGACTAAAGTGGTTAATTAAATTGCAGTATACAAGACATGAAATGTTTGTTTGTATTTTTAGTGCTTTCTTTATAATTTATCCTATTTCTACTTTAACGCCACCGTAATTTACATTTTTTAAAACACAAAGAAGGTTCTCCATACCTCTACCCGATACCTATCTAGAAACACGTCCTCAAAAGTTTTATTCCTGTGTAATTGAATTAGTACTCGTATCCGAAACCACGCATAAACTTACGAGATTTGTCAATGTGTGTGTGTCAGTAAAAATATTAGTATATTATATAATCTGTGTCAAAATATTATAGTTACTACTTACAAAATTTAAAAATGGCGATATTCTTTTTGGTTAAAAATAAATTTTCGTATCAAACAACACTCTGTCTATAGTCCATTTACAAGATATAAAATAATCAGTACAAAAATTAAATTCACTTAATTATACAATAAATGATAGGTAAAAATAAACACATTACTTAATTGGCAGTTATTATTACTGTAGAATGTTTAAACTTATTTATTTAAATCACTGTTTAAAAATCCTACAGTACATTTCTAAAGTTCGATACAAAAATACGAATTAGTCAAGATACATTCAAACGCATTATAGTTGTCAATTATAACCATATTAATAAATATTTGTATGATTCTAATACAGATATAGATGAAGTCAGATAGATCAATTTGATACTCAATTTGTATGGTATTTAAAATAAGCATGCATTTATAACTTATTTAACATCAAAGCAAATTTAATACCTAACTTTGAATATCACTAAATAATTTTTGTTATGTATTTTATTTAGGAACTCTAAAATTAGTTAATTACGATTCAAAATTACAACACAAAAGTATTAAAGTCAACCAAGCTCTGTGCAGTGAAATTTGGCGCCAAAAATTTACATCCAATTATAATATACAGTTACGACATCTTATAAAACCTGTATCTGTGGATTCTAAAATTGCCAGTTTTAATAATTTTTAATTTGTTTAATTTATATATACGAAAATAGAAACTTATTAAAAAGGATAGTAAGGGTAATTTTTCCAACCTGAAAAATCAAACACACTGCTATTTTGATTGAACTTATTAATGGTGGCAACTTCGTCTGCAGTTAATTTAAAATCGAACAAATCGATGTTCTGTGCTAATCGTTCCTTATTGGCAGATTTGGGAACTATGATCATGTCTCTGTCAATCTGAAATAGAAATTGTAATATATTTTAAATCTATCTCACAACACAAAAAAAAATGGTACACGTGTTCCATATTTTTTTCTTTTTTTTTTTTTAGAAAGCATAAACTATTTATTTCTCCTCCAATTAGATATAGGTATATATTGTATTTTACGTTTACATCAAATATTTTAAATAAAAATAAGTAATACAGTTCTTTTAGTCACAAACTGACGATGTGTCGTCTGTTGGAAAGTAGTTTGTGACTCATTTGCTACCATTAATATACTGCCTGTGGGGAAAGGGATTGTTAGTAATGAGGTCAAATAGCCCCATTACTAGTAATATATCCTGTCAGGTCGACCTCCACAGTGGTTCCCCCTGGAAACCATCGTGAACAATTCTTGTTGAATTCGTCACGATGGGCTATATATATATATATATATATATATATATATATATATATATATATATATATATATATATATATATATATATATATATTGTATATCCTTACATCAAATATTGTATACCGATAGCGCGGTGGGATTACCATTCCATTATCATCCATTAAAAAAAATATATACTGCCTTTTCTAAGAAGCACGGTGTTACGCTTCCATACTCAACAATTCTATTGCCATATTCCACTATCTGTGATGTAGTTAACTAATCTCTCGATCTAATAATAAAAAAAATCGATCCACCTGCATCTCTCTGCTTAATACGTTTGACATCATCAAGCCGTCCGATGGAGGGTTGCCTTACTGCGTTTTCCTATAAAATGTCTGCACCTGAGAGTCTTTTATCTCCCATCGATAGCTGATCATTTCGGCTATATCATCCACCTTTGTTCTTCGACGGACACCTATTTCTACCATTCATCATCATTATATCAGCCGTTATCTGTGAAATATAGGTCTCCCCCATAGACTGCCATAAGGAACGGTCTTGAACCATCTGCATCCACTGATTGCCCACAATGCATTTGAGATCGTCACACCATCTTGCAGGACGTTGCACTATACTGCGTTCGACTCCTACCGCGAAAAATCGACAGACATAACTCCTTACTATAAAAATCATAAAACTCACCAAATATCTCAACACGACTTGCCCAGTGGTCTTGCCGTACTTCTCAGCTAACTTCACCAACGTGGGATCATCGATCAGAGGTGGTGTCACATAAGTACGGTTTCTGGGCACCAAGAAACCGAAAGGACTGTACGCCATTACAGCAATGCCTTTATTTTGACAGTGAGCCACTAACTCTTCATTTGTGTACGCTGGGTGTACCTAAAGTATTAATTGTAAAAAAAATATTAGAAAATGAATGGTTGAATAAAAGAATGAATGACAGAATGCATGAAAGAATGAATAAGGGTTGAGTTCCGCCTGAGGTCTAGGGGCCGGGTGGGCCCTACCCATTCCAGATTTAGTTGGACATGTCAAAGTACATATACAGTTAAGTCCCGATAATGTATTTAAAATATTTAGAGAATCTATCAAAAATATTAAAACATCAAAACGAAATATACTTTTTCAAATTAGGTCAACTCTTGGGTTGTATTCCAGATGTTAATTGCCTGGCTCCTCATAACTCGGTTATCCTAGTTTTGAGAACCAAGCGATAAGTTTAATTGTACAGCACTTATTCTTCTTTGTTCTGGCTATTATCCCAGTTTATTTAGAGCCTGTCCTACAAGTAGTCCTGCGCCACACCGTACGGTTATGGGTTGTCTGTTCACTCGCGTTTGTACATTTAATATGTTTTTTTATAGTTTGCAACCAGGTCATTCGTAGTCGACCACAACACATCTTTCCTTCTCCCATTGCTATCACCCTTATCACATGGTCATCATCCCGTCTCATCCATATCCGTAGCAGCGCAGGCGGTTTTATCTATTTTTCTAGTACGAGTACACTAGTAGCCTTAAAGGTAACACGAATATACTCGTTTTTAATTTTATTTATTGTGGATATTCTATCATACCAGCGTATTAATATTATAAGTTAATATTTTAAAAAACTAATTACAAATATATTAGCTACTCGTACATTGAATAGAGATTGTATTGAATATTTTACCTCGATCTGATTCACAGCCGGTTTAACCTTGCCTTTGGCTAAAAGTCTATCTATCTGCGAGACATTGAAGTTTGAAACTCCAATAGATTTGACAAGGCCTAATTCCTTCGCATCTTCCATACCTCTCCAGGTTTCTAAATAGTCGATATCATCGGGAGATCCGTCATCCTGGAAAAATTGTAGATACCTTAAATTGTTTCTAAATTCTTAAAAAAAGTAAATATTTTTCAGAATATTTTGATCGTAATAAAATATACATCTATAAATTACGAGATGTTCCGTAAACATATCTTATTTAATATATTTAAATTTAGAATACGGATACATGTATTTATGAATTGCTTAACTTAAATTTTATATTTAGTTTAGTTTCAGAATAAGCAGAGATATTTTAATGGATGATATAGAAATGGTAACCCCGCCTCCGCTATCGATATACTTGTACACTAGCGGAGCACCAGTGAGGAATAATAGGTAAGGACGAAGAAGATCATTTGACCAATCGTAACGAATTCAACATTAAATCAATCACGACAGTTTCCAAAGGGACAGAGTTCCATGTAACATTGTTACAAAATATAAAGATGAATTCATAACCTTTTGTAAATTCCTTAGTCTAATAAATTTATAAATACATACACAGCCACCTTTTACCATCACACCGTTCGCCATCGGCAGGGACATTATCCTGACACGCTAAAACCTAAATAATCGTGTACAGTGTGGTTTCAGAGAAGTTTACTCCCGCGAACACTCAGGCTACAAAAAGAGCTCCCTGTAGAAGTTATCACTAGAGTCTAAGATATGGCTTTATTCAAAAAAGGTGTATTAAGCTTTCTTCAAATTTGGCAACGTGCATGTGACACCCCTAGTGTTGCAAACGTCCATAGACTACAGTGACTGTATACCATAATATGGGCTGTTCACTTGTTTGCCACCTTCGTGATATAAAAAACATACCTTCGTAGCCACAGGGAAGTGTATAAGAAACAAGTCGACATAGTCCATGCCGAGTCTGGTCAACGATTCTCTAAGAGTGGGCACCACTTGTTCACGAGCATGTCTCTCACAGGGTAGCTGAAAAATAAAAAATATTATTTTAAAATTTAAATATACTTGGTTCTGGATATCGTAAGATGTGACTAAGAGACTTAATGATCGAGGGTTAGACAGCAGTATCCCTCTTTAAATATCACTAAAGGCAAAAATTCCCTTATGGTGAACGCTTATGTTCAGCAACGGACAGTTAATGGCTAAAATAATAATAAAAAAAATGTACTGACAAACGAACTCACTTTGGTGGTTATATACATTTGTTCTCTGGTAACGAGACCTTTGGCAATCGCGTCCGCCACGCCCTGTCCGACTTGCGTCTCGTCCTGGTACAACACGGCAGTATCGATGTGGCGGTAGTCTGCTTCAATTGCCCAGAGCACTGCATCTCGAACCTCGTCTATGGGTATCTGTAATATAATACGTATTTTACAAGGTATTCCTAAATACATCAATGTATTTTTATAAACTCTTTGCGGTATGGTCCCAAAATAGACTGAGCCACCCTTTTGTTACCCATGGGTGTCGTAAGAGACGACTAAGGGAACTTAATAGTCGAGGGATGGGCAGAAGTATCCCTCTGAAAACATCACGAAAGCCTAACTGTAATGCCCAACTTGCCTACCAAGCGTGGCAACTACTGGCAAAAATCCCCTTTATGGGAGAGGCCATGTTCAGCAGTAGACAGTTAATGGCCTATTTGATGACGATGATATGTACAAACTCGAAACTAGATAACACCATTTAATATACATGTAATATTTGTTTATGTATTTATATATTTATGTATGTATTCGTTTATGTATTAATTTGTTTGTTTTTGTTTATTTTATTATTCTTTCTACTACATATATTGATCCTGTTTGCTTGTCTAATCTTTTTTTACAATTCTAATGAGTACTAACACAGTTTTAAAAACTATTAATTTAAATTCACATATAAAATATAATATTAGTAAGAAACCAACTGAGTAAGCAATTTTTTTATTCATAGTCAGTTTGAATTACTATTGTATGGATAAGAAAGCCATATTTTAATCAAATATTTACATTTAATCTTTAATTTGTATTTTACTTATCATTATTATTATTATTATTTTGTTTTCATTCCTCTTGTTTGTTAATTTTTTTTGTTAACTCCTATTTTTGTAGCTTTGTGTACAGTGCCTTGTATTTATATTGTTGCTACTTGTGAAAACCTATTAGTGGCTTATTTTGTGATCCTAAAACTGTATCTATTTGCCCTGGCTTTCCTAAGAATAAATAAATGCATTTGTAAAATAAAAGCAAGACATCAATAATATTTAGTAGGTAGATTATATAACATAGGTAAGTACAATTATAATAACATCCATGGCTTCTTAACTACAGGAATCACGGTTGCTATTCAAGGATACATCAAAAACTCCATTATTCAAATTGACAATGGAAACATTGACCTAAAATGAATGTTATATAATTTATTTTCAAAGTACGTTATAATATGTAACTAAAAAAGTGAATACTTTAAAAAATAAAACAAAGAAACAGATCTAGTTAGTAATTTAATCTAGGTAAGTTTGATGGCTATAAAACCTAGCGATAAGACCGTCTTTTGTACCTTTATGTATATATTTTAATCTATAATTTAAACTACTGTATTTTACTTGAATTGTTTTATTTTTACAGTATATTTTTAAGTTTCTGGTGCAATAAAGAGTTAAATAAATAAATAATAATTAGATATAAATAAAAACTGAATCTTTAAAGAACACTAACAAATTAACTATCTATATACGGCGACCTTGTAATTTAATAAATCTTTTTAATAATAGTTAATTGTTTATTTAATTATTTTATGTTCATAATTTGTCATTTCTAATAACACACGTTACCTTTGTTAGTCCTTAGTACCCTTACTAATATCAGTATATTATAAATGTTGAAGTGAGTTTGTTTATTACCTATTCCCTATCAATTATCATGAAATTTGGAATACACATAGTATTTGGGATGGTAAAGGACATTTTATTCCAGTAAAATTACATATTCTGGGCATGTGAAGTCGCAGATAAATACTAAGTAAGTAACCCTACAAAAGGTAAAGTATATATACTGGTAAGCTAATATTCTTTTTTTTATTATCAAAATAAGTACGTATAAATTTCTAGTCGTGCCCCGTGGATTTACTCTCAAGAATCAGTATATACAGTAATATATGTACTAAGTTAGGTTAATAAACTACCCGCATACCAAATTTTATTTAAAATCGTTCAGTAGTTATTGTGTGAAAGAATAACAAACATCCATCCATTCATTAATCTTTACAGACTTTCACATTTATGATACTTACCGAACCTGAAGTTCCTCTCCCCGTTCCTAAAGCCACTAAAGGAATCTTGTTCCCATCATTCAGGTCCATAGACGGAGCTACACTGGCCACGGCGAGCTGCAACATAATTATATAAATACTATATAAAAGTCCAGTTATGGAACAAACTCCCTTCCCACATACAAGAGAGTCCCTCTGTTACCTCTTTCAAGAAGAGGTTGAAATCACATTTTCTTTTCCTTGAGTAATATTTTTTTTTTTTGTATTTTTCTAATTGAACTCTCAAATCTTAAAATCATTAAATGAAATTTCTAATGTAAGTAGTATATTAATTTTTTTTAACATATATTATATAAGTAGGTAGGTATTGTATGTATTTATAGTGTATGTATTTATGTAATATTTTATTATATATTTTAATATTTTATTTAACTGTATATTTGTTTATGTATTAATAGTTGTAGCACTTCAGCTGCCCGCTAACGAAATGCTTTCTTACTGTACTGGGTTGACTGGAAGAGATCTCTGTCAGAGATGATAAGTCCACCCTTGCTCACAACATTTATAAATAGATTATTTTATATGTAACTTACAAGTGCAATAAAGATATATATATATATATATATATATATATATATATATATATATATATATATATATATATATATATATATAAAGCAGATTTTATGAATCTAGATCTTTTAATGACCTTCTCGTTTTTTGATCACTTCTGTGACATATTGAGACATACCTTCTTATTCATAAAAATCAGAATACCTGTTGAACTCGAACAATCGCACCATAAAAAGGTTAAACTTGCAATTGACAAGTGTTAAATATATTTGGAACTCTTAATATAAAAAAAAAACAAATAACTTATATTACTAACATCTGTTTAACTAAATAGAAAGACTGTTGTATTAAAAACAAAAGGCGTTCAAAGTAATCAATTTTATTTCAATTATCTATAAATTTTAACACATAAAACTAAAAATAAATATTATTACACCAACTGAACAATGTTTAATAGCTAGCTAGTTTAAATTATTTGTGTAGTAAAACGGAGAAGGTTTAATGAAATAGCTCGTATTCGCATGGTTCGAATAAAACAAGTTTTTTTTTAATCTCAAATCAGATTCTGGGATCTTGACCACAGTAATATTTCATTGTGATCAGCTTTAAATGCAGATTTGAGTATATTTTTTTAAAACAACTTAGAATGGCAAACAAGCTGACGGTCCACCTGATGGAAAGTGGTAACCGTCGCCTATAGACATGAGCAGTAATACATTTTATCTCGCCCATGATCATGCGTTGCCATTCCTGAGGACTCAAGTGTTATTCCTCTGTACCCAGTAAATTCACGCCATATCCCACCCTTCAAACCGAAACACAGCCATGCAAACACAATTGCTTCACGGTTGAAACACGAATGGGACAGAGGTACCCAAGCAATCGACTTTTGTACAGTCTCCCTCTGGTACGAATGGGACAGAGGTACAAAATTTGACATGAAGTACTCATAAGTACGTATTACACATATGTACTATGGATTTTACTAGCTTGAATAACTACAGTCACGATTCACGAGAAAACTTTATGCAACCTAGTCAACATACCGAGCGAGGTAAATACTTTATTTAACCTTAAATAATTCGTGTTAAAACCCGCCATACCATAATGTGTACTAAACGCGAAAGTTTAAAAGTAACTGTCAATTACACACAAACTTGTCTGCAAGCGAACACTTTCACTTTTCAATGCCAACAATAAGATTTTTTTTATTGCAATTTTATTAAAATGCAATTCTTTGATAAAATATACGACAAAACAGCAGAACTAGTGACCTATTCATTGATAAGATTACCTTTTCTTTTAATTGGAGAGCATTGAACTGTAGATACCTACTACATTATTGACTAGTTCAATATAACTATAACATAATGTAAATAACATGACGTAAATAAAGCTATAGTTAATGTCTTTGAAAGTCCTTTAGCTTCATTATTCCACATAAATGTACTTCCTAAAAACATAAGCGTTTTTCGATTGGTTAACCATCAAAAATTCCTAACATGGACTAAATTTTACACGAGCTACTAAATTTTATTTTATTCCAAATATTATAAATGTAAAAAATTAATTAATTAATTTTAATATCAATTATCAACATATTGATGTAAAATCACTAATTTATGTATTATAACTATTAAATAAAATATTGTAGCAAAGGGAGTATACAAATTAGAAAAAATGTCTACAACTATTTTATAAAAGTGAATTCATCATATCAGCCTTTAACTGTCCACTGCTGAACCTCCCCTTTGGGGGGTTTTGCCAGTAATTGCCACACTTAGCAGGCGGATTAACAACCGCAGTTAGGCTCTAGAAATGTTTTAAAAGGGACCCTCATCCCTTCTCTCCCTTAGTCGGCTCTTACGACACCTACGGGAAAGGAAGGGGTGACCTATTCTATGCCGGGACCACACAACAAAAATATGAGTTAGGAGGTATTAATGGTAAAATGGATGCGAAAGAAAACCCCTATTTTTAGATACTGTCAATGCTCTAACAAAGCACGCACTGCAAAGCCAAAAATAAACGGGTAATACTAAATTATTAAATACCTTACATACCCTCAATATTTAATTTTTATTTATAATTAACTATGTTAACTAGATATATGTATGTCTTATAAGTAGATAAATACATAACTATATGAGTATATATATAAGAATAGTAAAAAATAAGTTATATAAATAATTCACGGTAAGATAACGGAACGATATCAAACGATTTTAATCACGATATATTATATACCTTATACGACATAATAGCTTCATAAAAAATATCTAAGAAGAGAATATAGAATGCAAATAAAGATATGAAAGATCAAAGATTATCTATATGGGACAAATAAAGGAAATGCCAGGTGTCATGTCGTACATGAAGGTCGATAATATGTCCAGGGACAGAGCCAGAACGAGAAGAATGCACGAAATATAATACTTGTCCTAGCGTTGACAAATTATTTTTTAACAGTTTTGGGTAAAAAATTGCTATTTGCGTAATTTTGAAAAAATTAAATACTTGGAGAAAAATAAAATGGGCTTGGAGAATTTTGATAATTTTTTAGATAGTTATAGTATTTGCAATAAAATATATGAATGAAGATAGAAAAACAGAGAACAAGTTAAGAGAAGGAGAGAATAAGTTAAATGTAGAAACAGAAGTTATGGCTTTTTTGCATCCTTCATTTTGTACCACATAGCAAAACATAGTAAAAATCGATACAAATATGTGATTGGGTAAAAGTCTTAGAAACCGATTTGGTGAAAAAATATTAGTTGTTAGGATAAAAGTCGAAATCGCATTTGGAAACCCTAAGTTACCTCGACAAAAGGAAACTCTTAAATTAAATACATGTATTCAAATTTCTATGCACGCCCACAACATTATCATGCTATGCACATCAGTTTATTGTGTGTTTACTGTGATACCATGGCGTTTAATATTTTTTTAGAACAATGAAAATCGGGCTTTTGTTACAGGTAACTAACAGTTATTAAAAAAAAACTTTTTTACGAGATTCATTATCTTACTACATAGTAACATAATGCATTTTCTTTATCCAAATGGGTACGTTATTACCACATATAAGCTTAAATAGAAATCCTCAGTACCCTCTGAGGAAATATAAGAAGTGAATAAAGACAAAAAAATCAGACTCCCATACTAACTAACACAGAGTGTTCAGCTATCAAATTTTTTTTTGTTCATTTTCAACCGACTTCAAAGGAAGGTAGGTTTACAATTCAATTGTATTTTTTTTTCTTATATTTGTTACCTCATAACTCCGTCAGTTGTAAAACGATTTGAAAAATTCATTTTTTCTTTTATTTGTATTTACTTACAAATTGGTGTAATAGAAATTTTATAAAAATCTGCTCAATAGTTTCATTTTCGAATTAAAATAACAAGTTTTGTAAGAATTGAAGATGAATTTTTTTTTGCAACGCAATTTTAATTATTCTTTAGTAAAAATATTTAGTTTTACCGGTAGAATACATCCAAAGAGTTAAATTATAAAATCATCAGTATTTATTTCTGTTTTACTTTTGTTTTTTTTTTTACTTTTAACGTACTAGTATGGTATAATCTCTTCATCAGACTATTGTAACGTAATTGTACTTACATTAACCCCGAATAACAATATTGCTTGAACAAGTAACATGTTGTCTCTCCAGATATCACTTCAATACTGATCAGTACTCCGATTGCAGCAATGTCCAACCAAATATAACTATATGTTTAATAATAAACTTGTATGTAAGCACAGCAGCCGGTTTAGATACTTCACTGACCCTTGTATAGAGCTGTAATAGATTAACTGACACCATCACGCACTATTTAATGTGTGATAATTGTATGAGAATGTTAAAATAAGTAGGTACTTTTTATAAAAACATAATTGTGTTACCCTACATTAGCTGATGATGACATGATATAATGAACCATTCACAGTCTGAATTTATTGTTTGAACAACGTAATAATTATAATAAGGATGATAATGAAATGGTAACCCCGCCTGCGCTAACGGTATACGCTGGCGGGGCACCAGTGAGGGATGATAGATGCGAATGAAAAAAAAAGCAGGTCAGTTAACCTAACCTGGGGAATGTGCTAATATACCGGCGCATTCCCTTGAGTGGTAGGGTGAGCACGCCATCCACCCTATATTGAGAGAGGAGACCTGCCCTTACCATCAGGGGGCGGGTCGCTGCCGTCGGAGATGTGGTGAGTGCGAAAGCGAACCCATGTCTCCGACATATGGCACCTCGAGGGCATATCGTCTGGTTTTAGGTGGGTACACCCCCACCTTACGGGGGGATTCCCACAGTACCCATTCACCTCCCACAGGGTGTATGGATCTGCATAAAGTATTTTCCAGAAGTTAAAAAAAAAGGTCAGTTAGCCGAACGTGATGAATACACTTGGAATTCAGCACGATGGTCTCCAGGGGGCCACGGGGAGGTCGACCTGGTTGGATATACTGCTAGCAATAGGGCCCTTAGTCTCCATTACTAACAATCCCTTCTCCCCCAGCGATAACGTTTCTATCGATCAATATTTTTAATAGGTGAAGATGAAATGATAAATACATAGACGTTTTACTCAGTAACGAAACGTTTTAACTGTTTTTTAATGGGTGATAATGGAATGGTAACCCCACCCGCGCTATCGGTATACACCGGCGGGACACCAGTGAGAAATGATAGGCGAAGATAAAAAGGCAGGTCAGTTAGCCCATCATGACAAATTCAACAAATACTACCACGATGGTTTTCAGGAGAACCGCATGGAGGTCGACCTACGGAGGTCGAGCTACTAGTCCCCATTCCTAATAATCCTTTCTTCCCTCTCTATCAACAAATTGGATTATCACCTGTCAAGGGAGGAAAGTGTTAAACCAAAAAAGAGATAATCAGATAGTACGGGGTTCTTCAATATGGGCGTATTAAGTTTCCTTCACGGTCGCTTACACGCACGTGACATGCCTTGTGTTGCAAGCGTCCTTAAGCTATGGTAACCGTAAATAATGGGCTGTGTACTTGTTTGCTACATTTGGGGTAAAAAAATAATCATTTATCTCAGAATGCGTTTGACATTGAAAATGTTGACATTCTTGTTTAAATTTATTGTAGTTTTCATTGACAAGTTTAGTATTCGAATGATGCACTACATTTTATTTCGTGTGTGGAATAAATAAGTTTACAATTTACTAGTTACTTTAAAGACCCATATCATTTTTTTATAGTTGCAAGTCATTAATCTAGATTCTAAGTACCAGTTTTTGACCTTGAATTCGATTATCCAATTGTGTGTAATACCTATCGTTGGGATTAAGTTATTTGAATAGCCTAAATATGTATTTAAAAAATTTGTAATTAAATGTAATGGAATAAAAATATACAGCCATGGAAATTTGCGCCAATATTGATGTAATTACAAATATATATATATATATATATATATATATATATATATATATATATATATATATATATATATATATATAATTATATATATATATATAATTATTTCTTGTATATTGTATGAATGAATGAATAAATTTATGTAAATTTTAGTATATACGTTTATCAATTATTACTAATACCACATTGGAGGGGGGAAAGGGATTGTTAGTAATGGGGTCTAATAGCCCCGTTACTAGCAATATTCCCTCTCCGGTTGACCTCCAAGCGGTTCCCCCTGGAAACCATCATGTTTAATTCTTGTCGAATTCATCATGGTGGGCCAACTAACCTGCATTCATTTTTACCTGTCATCTTACACAAGTGCCTCGTCAGTGTATACCGATAGCGCGGGAGGGGTTACCAATCCATTTTCACCTATTAAAAAAAAATACCACATTGGAGTATTATAACCCTTTCCTAAGGTTGACATTACATTTTATGTATACAAACATGTACATGCATATCACCAGACGAACAGACAGCTATGCAAGTGCGAAATAAGAAAATTTGTAAATTTACAAACTCAAGACGAATATTGTTAACGGCACACTTTCTATTAAGTAAATGTCGTGCACGTTTCCATTGTATGTAAAAAAAAACCGGATATGTGTTGTTTCAAGGTCGTGAACCACATGAGGAGCGAGGGGCGTGATCTAATCATGACACCATTGTAACAATTTAGGATTGTTTTTCACAAAAAATAAATCTTGTAATCACGACAAAATTAGTTACTTTATTTCAATAATTAAACATTTAAACCGATTTTGATAATTTTTTTATAGGACTGAATTAAATATATATCTTTTTAAATAAAAAAAAGAATTTTTCAAATCGTTTTATAAAGAACAAAATTATGAAGTAACAAACAAAAAAATACAAAAAAAAAACTATTTTTTTTTAAGGCGGAAAAAAATTGATATTCCCATATCAGATGTTTTATGAAATTTTACAATAATACATATACTTAATCTGTCATTCATCAAAACTAGAGTGATACCGAGACATTATTTGGGTTTTTATATAATGAATAACAATGGAATGATAACATCACCTGCGCGAGTGGAAAGGGATTGTTAGTTATGAGGTCTAATAGCCCCATTGCTAGCAAAATACCCTCTCAGGTCGACGTCCACGCGGTTCCCCCTGGAAAGAATCGTGATTAATTTTTGATGAATTAAACAAATGTATATATATATATATATATATATATATACGTCGACCATAATAAACAAAATAATTTAAAATAAAAACAATAGTCGAATTTATTGCAAATTATTGTTGAGTAAAACTACTCGTATTTACTGAACTGAACGTAACTATAAATAATTGTTTTGCGTCAAAACCAGTTATTTTGATTTAAAATTTAAACTACTAAAGCGATTTGAATAAAATGTCTATGAGACCAATCTGTATATCTGTATATTTCAGATAAAAAAAATAATTTTCAAATCGGTTTAGAACTAACGGAATTATGAAATAATAAACATAAAAATAAATATACAATCGAATTGAGAACCTCTTTCTTTTTTAAGTCAGTTTGAAAAAGGAATAAATACCATATACAAATAATGCTTACATTAAAAATATAAATGGCAAAGATAAAAATGCATTTTTTTTTAATTACCTACTATTTCCGTTAGCTCCCTCGACAATATTTTGTGCCAGTTTCTATCAGGTGACTCGTCTTTATTATTGTTCTCAGTAGCATTACATGCTTATCATGTTGTAGGTATACTCTGATAGAATGGATGGCCCTAAAGACATTATAATCTGTATATTAATCATTCGCTCCGTGGCGTTTACAAATTACTACCTCTAGATTATATTTGCAGCTAGCTGTAACATAAACCAGCGACTTATCACACTTGAATTAAATAATTTTCTTTTTATTTGGGACAAATAACAGCAAATGTGATGATGATGATGATGATTGTATCATCATCATCATGTCAGTCATTACTGAACATAGGCCTCATAAAAGGGAATTTTGCTAGAACTTGCCACGCTTGGCAGGACGATTGGCAGTTAGCCTTTTGCGATGTTTTAAGAGGGACGTTGATGTCTATCCCTCGACCTTTATGTTCCCTTCGTCACCTCTTACGATACCCACGGGAATGGAAGGGATGGCCCATTCTATGCCGGGACTACACGGCATGCAATATTCGGATATAAATCAGATTTAAGTACAGATATATTGGGGAGAAAGGGATTGCTGGTAATGGGGTCTAACAGCACTTATAGTGTATACCCTGTTTGGTCCCTGCTCCCTTCAAAAAACCATTGTAGTTGATCACTGTTGAAATCGACACAACAGGCCATATGGCCTAACTTCATCCTCACCTAACATCAGTTTACTAGTTCCCCGCCAATGTATACCAATATACGTGTGGGGTACTATACTGTATTCATCCACAGCTCTGAGGGGAAAGGGGTAGTTAGTAATGATTTAAACAGAATCATTTGCTAGCAGTATTCCCTATCATGTCCACCTCCTCGCAGTTCCCCTGGACACCATCGTAATAAATTCTTGTTGAATTCGTCACGATGGGCCTACTGACCTGTCTTCATCCTCACAGCGAGTATCATCCCTAATTAATCACGATGGTGTCCAGGGGGAACCGCGGGGACGTAAACCTGACAAGATATATTTATTTTATTTATTCTTTATTGCACAATAAAATTTTGTACAAATGGCGAGCTTAATGCCATATGGCATTCTCTAACAGCTAACCATATTGCTAGTAATGGGTATTTTTTTGTTAGGTGAAAATGGTATGGTAACCCCACCTGCACGAGAATGAAAACAGGCCAGTTAGTCCATCATGATGAATTCATCAGGAATTAACCATGATAGTTTCCATGGAGAACCGCGAGGAGATCGACCTGGTTGGGTATATTGCTAACAATGGGATTCTCAGTCTCTATGACTAACAATCTCTTTGCCCCCCAGTAATGAGTATTAACGTCCCCATTACTAACAATCGTTCTCCCCCACGCAGGCGGGGTTACCATTACATTTTCATTTCATAAAACACACTAAGCTATAAGCAAGTAACTGTAAGTCATTAAAATTTATAGAATGCGTAAGAGATCGCGTGACATCAAATCATTCATGACTCGATAAGTCGTTTTATCACGCTTCATTTTACAAATCGAAAGTGTTAATTGGCTTTTCAAACAAGACAAGTAACCGTTTACGCTACGAATAGGTATTTTCGATTAATAATACTTACGGACAGTTACATTTTATCGACAACTAACTTTTAGATTTTTTAGAAATCAAAGAAACTCTAAAACAGAATAATTTAGTAGATAATATGCTAATTAGAATGACAAATAAGACAACAAGCAAAAAACATGAACATG